AGGAAAAAGCACAGAGAAAAAGAATAGCAAAAAGAGAGAAAGGAGCAGGAATTAGGAACCACTGTAGAAACAGCAGTTGTTGACCTTGTATGAGCTGGAAGATTTGTCTGTTGCTGATCTGAAGAGATTGTAGGTAAGCCATGCCCATGCTGCTTTCAGCTGATCTGAGGCAAGATGGGGTACCTCCTTGGCTGCTGTGCCTCGGGCAGCCCTCACTGAAAATGTCAAGATCAGGGCAGTCTTCAAAAGAGAGAGCAGATTCTCCCAAAGACTGGTGGTTAACACTGAAGTAACTCACCAACCAGTCACAAACTGTGCTTCTGATTCCCCACACTGGTTATCAAGAAGTTAAATAAAGAAATCATATATCCCCCTTTATTGCATTCCAGATCTTCAGCTCCTAATCAGCACATAGGTCTTGTACAGTGAGGAGTTATTTAAAAAATCTCTGCTCACTATACAAAATGTTCTTCTGACCCCAAAGGGTCAGCCATGTTACCAGGTCAATATTAGTTTGGATCTTACCCAAAATACCACACTGCCAGCCAGTCCTTTAGCATCTAAACTAAAGGCTTATTATAAAAGAAAGAAAGAACAAGAAGAGAGTTGTTAAATGGTAAAGCAATCACATACATACAAAGACTTCAAAGTCCATATATCAGCAGTATTGGTGAGTTTGCTGGCTTAAAAGTTCCTCTGGAACACATCCACAGCTTGGATGGGTCATTCAGTCCTTTGTTCAGAGCTTCAGTTTGTAGAACAGGTACTGCAGAGGTAAGAAGCAGGACTGAAGACAAAATGGAGAAAATGCCTCTGCCCCTTGTATTCCTTTTGCCATGTGGCTTGTACTTCCTGTGTTCTAAACACAAGCTTCACAGCACATGGCATGGAAAAGCCTTAGAGTTCTCTGTCCACCGGCCTGCCCCTACATGCCTGGCTGACTCATAAGGTGTAGTCCCTAGACTTTCAATGGGTTCATTGTACAGTTGATGACCCCTGATGAGCCATCTAACAGGCTAGGCAGTGCTGATGCCAATCTGTCTGGGGGTGTCACCCAGAAACATAGCACAAGTTTGGAAATACAGATATACCATACATATCAATAACCCACAATACAAAGGTGATACAAACATATAAACAAGATTATCATACTTGGCAATTTATAACATTTTCGCAGATACCTCACATGGCATATCTGGTAAAATTCCTTGCAATTTATCATAAAGTGTCCCACATATTCCATACAGCATCACACCTCCTTCATACAGGGGTCAGGAGAGCTCCCTTCTCCTCCTGAGGAGATTGAGGAGATGATACCAGAGTGTCCAGCAGAAGTAGCAGTGATGACTAGCAATCCAGAGATATGGCGACTGGAGTGTAAAAGGCTGCTCATGCAGGAAGGATGGGAGGAGCTGGAGGCAGAGTTGGAACAACAGAAGCTTGCTGACCAGGACAAACGCTATTGGCTCGAACAGAAGAAGAGGGTCAAGTCATATCCATGGGACCCAGGGAGAAGGGCCTAGGGCACCAGGATTTGGGGGGGGCAGCATTTGCTGCCCTCGGCGGCAATTTGGCGGCGGGGGGTCCTTCCGCGTTCCGGGTCTTCGGCGGCAATTCTGCGGCTGCTCCTTCACTTGCTCCGGGACCCGCCGCCGAAGTGCCCCAAAGACCGGGAGCGGGGAAGGACCCCCACCTAGGGCGCCAAAAACCCTGACGCCGCTCCTGCCTGAGGGTATACCTATTTAGGGGCTGACAGGCAAACAGATATGGGTGTGCTGAACCCCAGTGCTTTGCTTGTGGCCTGAGTCACTGTTGACACCAAAGCAGGTTCTGGGACTCTGATTGTGGGAATACAGGAGGCTGTGTTGTGTGATGTGTTACTTTGTGAATGAAACTGGGGCTTTCAAAACAAACCCAGCTTTTCCTCTGGGAAAGGCAGAAAAGGTGAGTCAAACTCCCTCAGTGGACTCCAGAGAAGCAGAGGGAGGTGTCAGCCAGAATGCAAATGGAGTATCTGACAGTGAGAAGTGGGGTTGGATCCCCCTGCAGGTCACAAAGAAACTGATACCTTAGACAGCAAGGAAGACAGGGAAACATCTCCCTCCAATCTGATGGTGCAATGGTCTGTGAAAATGTAAAGGACAATGAACTGGGTGGGAGGGGAAATGTTGCTCACCTTGATTCAGTGTATAGGGAACAAAAGGCTAAGCCAGTGTGTTTGTGTATGTGTTAGGAGGGTTCAATAACTCCCCCCTTCCCCCTGAGAAGCTGAGGTTATGCCACAGGGAACCCAAGGCCCTGCCTCCAAGGAGGTGGGATAGAGAAAGGAATTGGGCGATGGGGAAGAATGCTTATTATGTGAACTTTTGTAATTTGAAATTATAAAAGGTTTTGGCTGTGACACCAACTGGGAATAAAACTGTGGATTCCCCTAGGCTGCCAGTCAAGCTCTCTAGCTACACCCACTTCTTTATGGGTGATGTGACAGATATTGCCACCATATGCAGTATCTGGAATCTCCATCATTGGAGATTTTTAAGAGCAGGTTAGGCAAACACTTGTCAGGGATGGTCTAGATAATACTTAGTCCTGCCATGAGAGCAGGGGACTGGACTAGATGATCTCTCAAGGTCCCTTCCCATCCTACAATTCTATGATTCTATGGCAGGTGTGGCATTGGGCAGTTGGAGAACATACAAAAGTGACTAAAGAATCCCTCAGTCAAACACTAGTCAGAGAGGGGAAACTTATGGGACTTAACAACACAGAAGCCGTGCAAAGAGCAGCCCAGGATAGTCAGGGATGGCAGAGCCTTATTCACGACCTAAGTGTCTGATAGTGTAGGAAAGATCCAGATTCAGATTCAGGATTCCTACAATATAAAAGCATCATATGAGAACAAAATAGCTAATAAAGGTCAGTGTCAGTAGCCATTAAAACCACTGCACCGTTAAAGCAAGCCCAGCAGTTAGAGGTATGAATCTGTATTTCAGACCACCTGTGTTTCCACTGATCTTCGGCATGTCATCTGCTAAACCACTACAAACAAACGGTCTGACCCTAGTGCGAAGAATGTAGAAAACCTACAGTGATCTTAAAATACCAGTGTAAGGAAACTGAAATATAACTGCTCTAACACCATGTAGCTCTTATTTTTAATAATGGCTTAGAGAACCACAACTCTGCTGAATGAGGTTTCAGTACTGAAATGTTTTTCTATGACAGCAAGAATATAGACTTATTACTAGCTATGGTCCATTTTGAAAATATACACATCTGTATATTCAATATCAGCAAATCTTTGACACTATATCCTATCTTTAGGTGGAACTCCAAATTGTATGGGTAGCTTTACTTTCAGAGCAAATACCCAAAGCACTCTTTAAACGAAAGCACACTTCTGTTACATCCGATCAGCAGCTATGCAAGGGCAGACACCACATCAAATTATTTCCCCCGAAATATCTTTCCCTCATCAAAACTATCTTCTTCAATAGGATTATTCACCTGCTTAAAATTACACATGTGCATAAGTGCTTTGCCGAATAGGACTCTAAAGACACAACTATTGTTCATGTGTTCCATGGCTTCTGATCTGATGGATCTAGTCAAGTGGCTGGCCTGCAAAGAGTATATGTCTTAATGCTAATGAAAAAACTAATGGCAAATTCACTTTCTGCACAAGTAGAAGGGGCCTACGTTTCTAGAACACAGTGTCTACCATTTTATTCTCTATGTCAGATGTATGTGGCTTTGGCAAAGGTGGTCTCTGAATGCAGGTGGCCACAGATTCATTACAATGTCTTTGGGTTTTTTAATTGTATTAGATGTATCATATTTGTACATGAATCAGTTCCCCTAACCACACCAAACTTAACAAATCACACAGGAAACAGCTTAAAAAATGAAGAGACATCAAAAATAAGGAATAGGGGAGCAAATAGAGAACTTGGGCAGAAAGGATAAGCAACATATGGAATAAGATACTGGTATCAGAAAAATTAAGTGAAACAAAGAGGGTTCAAAAGACATCTCAATTTCTTTTGGTAAAGGGGCAGGGCCAGCGTGTGGAGAAGCCCAAATGTAGGATTAAGATCAACCAAAAAATGCCGCATAATGAAAGCTGGATGGCCTTTTCTTGTTCCTATCACCCAAAATCTTAGGCACAATGTACATTCAGAACAGTTCAGAAAAATCAGTATAAGAAAATCTTGCTCACTCATTCTAGTTAGTATGAAGATGCAGCACATGAATAATGGTCACTCCCTTACTCAATAGTTTTTTAAACATCCTCTGTTCTCAGTTAAGCACATTCCTCTTTAAATAAGATACAGATGAAATAAAATACTTTTTTAGCAGTTTCCTTGGATATTTAATCTTTGTATCTTCTCACTTTCCTAACACATTTTAGTCTCTTTTTCTGTCTTCATGTCCACACTGATTCAAGACCAGCAGTACTGTGCCTCAGCAGGAGTGATCATACTGCACGAGATCTGACACTTGTCTCAGAATAATAGTAGTTAGCACGTTACATTTTCAAGAAATGAGCAAGTCTAAGCCCACTAGCACACTGCACTTTAGTGAGGTATTTTAAACATGAGGAAACTGATATTCAGTGGTTTGCAAGGCTAAGTGACTCGCCCAAGGACACACAGTGAGCTAATATTAGGCCTGGAATTTGACCTCAGAGGTAGAGGTGGTAAGAAATTTTTTAACCAAACATTTTTTGTCAGCAAATGCCAATTTATTGAATTCTACATTTTTTTTCCGGCCAGCCCTATTCAGGGGCTCCTAGCTTCATGCCTCATCAATTACATGATGCAGGTGCTGTGCCTAGAAATGACACCTTCCTCAAGACATCGTAGAAGTTATATTGTGGTTTTTATCTTGTTTCACAATTACAGAATGTCAGATGTCCTTCAGAGGAAAAAAAAACCCACATCCTTTTCATTTTCAATATATATTAGGCATTTATTATGCAAGAACACACTGCAGCAATAATGGGGCTTCTCTTCACTTTGTCTGCTTCTGCTACCATTATTCTCCTGGTAATTCCCGGAGGTAAGTGCTGCTTTTATCCATTGTAATTCATGATGTGTGTAGAGCAAGATGTAGCTAGATATATTGAAATAATGAAGTTATCAGTAAATAAGAGAAAGAAAACATTTTTATTTATTTTCCATTGATTGTAAAAGTTAGGTCTTATGACAAATCTAAAAATAATATATGAAGGGAAAATCTTAACTCAACCTGCAGAGAGGGGAGGCAACTGGAGTCTAGAAGAGTTATATTAACCTTGCCTGGTTCCCCTTCTCAAAAGATGTATATCTATCCAGGAGTCAGAAAATTCCATCAGAAATGATGCTGTAATTGGCATAAATCACTTCATTTCCAACCTTTTCTGAAAAAATATTGTTCATTTAACGCTTTATCTGATTATGTAGTGAATTGTGTATCCACTTTTTCAGAGTATACTTATAAATATACTGCATAATGTTTAGACAGTGTCAGATCCAGGGTTCTTTAACATAATGAAAGCTGATGAACCTAGCAATGGAAACAACTGCAGGTCAAGCAAGTAACGCTCCACAAGACCATTAGTATTTTAGGGTGGGATTTTCAAAATCAGGGTTGGCCTAACGCTCTTCCCATTGAACTCAATGGAAGCAGATTTAGACCAACACAGACCCATTTTAAAAATCCCACCCCTAATACAGCTACATCCAGCACTGGAAGTCTGTGTGTATATTTATATGCATTATATTGTATAATTACTCTAACCCTTTCTCTATGAATGGAATTATTTTACATTATATACTATCCCAACTGTGTGCAGCCTGGTTTATTTTTATTTTTAGATTCATGTGTGGATATCATTGGAGGGTATGCAGTGACTCCACATTCAAGACCATATATGGCCCTAGTCAAAGGGAAAGACTATTGTGGAGGAGCTTTGATCAAAGAGAATTGGGTGTTAACAGCAGCCCATTGTAGAATGTAAGTTCTTCTAAAGATTTCTATCTCATAGAATGTTCTTACTAGTTTAACAGCAAAGTAAATAACACACAATATGAACCAAAGCTAATGCTTGATTCTGTAGATCTAACATGCTTTAGAAATTGCCATAGTAAATAAAACTAATGTTCCATTTAGTCTGGTATTCTGTCATAATAAATAATTATGCAATAATATGCCTGTGAGGGTTTCTTCCAACTCCAGGCAATTAGTAGCTTATCTCCTGAAGCGTGAAAATTTATATCTCTTATATTTTGTATAGTTAGTGTAATTGGGATTATAATCTTATTACATTTTAACATTTACATTGGCAACCAAGCAATTGTGGTCTCCATTTCAACACTTTCGTGAATAACAAAGGCCATAATAAAGTGCGCTAACCTTCAATCTATATGCAGAGATATTTTGTTAACTACTATTTGGACGCAGGCATAGAATAGCAGCAGTTAACTCAAGGAAAGACTTATTGACTATTTTCTTAGTCAATCACAATTTTGCTGAACAAAGTTCAAAACAATCCAAAATAGCTGCCCACAAAAGTGGAATGAAATTTGTGTCATTTCATTGTATAAGATGAATGCAGTTCACTACCTGAGGATGTGCTAAAATAGCTCTTTAATTTATGTATTAATTTATATATTTATTAATTAAATTATTTTCTTTATGAATTAACTTGAGAAATAGCAACAACATAAACAAATGAAGGTGAGGATGAACAAACTCTTTGCAGCTAGGGTCGGGGCGGTGAATTATATGGGCCCGTGGTGCCCATGCTCCAGGATTATTCAGGGCCTGGGGGCCCGGCTTCACCAATGTTCAGGGCCAGGTCTCTCCCCCGGCTCCACCTGCCACCCCCACGTGCCTCCCCCAGAGTGTCTCTCGGCCCCGCCTGCCACCTCTGGGGTATTTAAAAGGGTCCGGGGGCCTCCGGCCACCGCCGCCACCACCAGCAGCACAGCAGGACTAAAGCAGCTTTCTGCCTGGCCTCACTCTGCACCACTCCCAGAAGTGGCCAGAACAGTCCTACGGCCTCAGGGGTGGTGGGGGGTGATTTCCGTGCACTGCCCCCACCCCAAGCGCCGACTCCGCAGCTCCCATTGGCCGGGAACTGTGGCCAATGGGAGCTATGGGGACAGTGCCTGAGGGCAGCGGTGTGTGGAGACCCCCCCCCGGCCCCCCAGTCTAGGAGCCGCTGCCAGAGGGGTGTACGGGTCGCTTTCGGAAGCTGCCCGAGGTAAGCGCCACACCCTTCACCTTCTCCCACACCCCAACCCCCTGGCCCAGTCCAGAGCCCTCACCCAAACTCCCTCCCAGAGCCCACACCCCTCCCTGCATCCCAACCCCCTGGCCCAGTCCAGAGCCCGCACCCAAACTCCCTCCCAAAGCCCACACCCCTCCCGCACCCAAACTCCCTCCCAGAACTTTAGGCAGGTGTCGGGGCAGGTGGGACTTCGACCCATGCTGGGCACCACCAAAAATTATACAAACCTGCTGCCTCTGGCTCGGGTGGCCTTAATAATTTAGCTTGTGAGCCAACCTTTCTCCTGACTGACAGGCTACTTAGCCAAATAATCTATCTGGCCAACCCAGGCATGGATATGAGATTTAAAACACAAGTCCCACCTTTTACCCCCATCAAGAGGGTTAGAGCTCTCACTGAGCCAGACCCCACACAGTCTCTCCTGGCAAGTCTTTCAATCCCAATGAAGTTTGGATCCCATAATTCAGAGAGAGAGAGAGAGATTAATTCCTACTGTCACAGCCCAAACAGGTGAATATATTTAGCTCCTTATAAAGACTACATCGGGTCCTGCAGTTACAATATTAGTGTACAAGAACATATAGAAAACAGCAATTCTGGCTTGACCTGAACAAAGAGAAAATGCAATAGCTAGCCAGCATAAAGTTCAGTCAGCATTTAAACACCAATATAATGTCCTAGGAAAAAAGGACCATTTCCCCATAACCTTGCCCCCAGTGCATGAATGGGTGGAAGGGCAAATCTTGCTGAGATTGGAAGAGAGGTTGAATGTCCTCCAATCCTATATCCCAGCTAAACTTAAATGCATGTGCAACTGTCTCTCATGCAATCACAGTGTACCTTAGAGTCACTGGAGCAATTAGTGGCATGGTCTGATATAAAACTGGTCCTTGATTGGCCAAGAAGAGAATAGAATCCTAGGCATCCATTCAAGGAACCCCTAGCAAGCACAGATCAGTAAGCAACACTTCCATTGTCTGGTGAGTCTGTGAGGAGGCAGGACACTTAAGGGGAGGCAATTGAGCTGAATTAGATGTGGGACGAGGAGACAGTGTTGAGATCCTGATCGGAAATATTTCAAAGGTTTGGGATTCAGGTTCAAGGTCAAAGCAATGATACCGTTCAGATTTGATTTCAGCTCAAACAGCATCCAGATTTCATCACATGCATCTGACGAAGTGGGTATTCACCCACGAAAGCTTATGCTCCAATACATCTGTTAGTCTATAAGGTGCCACAGGACTCTTTGTCGCTTTTTACAGATTTCATTAGTTGTTCTCATGAGATTTCAGCCCAAAATGGCAGAAATCACATAAAGGTCAGTTTTTATAAGATTTCTGTTCCCAGAATAGCTGTCCTCATCAAATTTCTGATGCATCCAAACTGAACCCAGAAAATAGATCTCTTCCACTTTTGTATCAATCCCAGAACCAAAACTGTAGGGGCAGGTTTGCATCCCAAGATCTGAAACCTCTCCAAGACCCTGTGAAATTCGTATAAGTACAGATATAGCTGTATGATTTTAGCTCATTTAATTATTTATAATTATGAATTATTAATAACAATGTGCTGTTTCTTATTATTTAACTTACAGCAGTGTATTTATCAGCAAGAGAGTATAGTACTTACTAAAAATGAACACTACTGAACACATGTATAGTTTTGTATGATTAATATAGTTAACTATGTTGTTCTTTTCAGTGATAGAAGAAGCACAGTTGTTCTTGGAGCTCATTCACTTTCAAAGAAAGAGAAAGAAAAACAGATTTTTAAGATTGCAAGGCCAATTAGCTTCCCATGCTTTAATAATCAGACAAAAGAAAATGACATTATGCTTCTGCAGGTATGGAATTTTTATTAAACATAATTTTAAGAATATGCAACTTTCTATCCTGTATGGATATTTGATGCCATGCCCCCTGCCTTAGAAAGACTCCAGACAAAAATCTTTAGTTGTATAATATTTCTGACTTTGTTATTCATACACTCATTTGTCATTTTATACTTTCCCAAACTTCCTGTACAGACTTCTGACTTCTTATAAGGAGCATTGCCCGTAGAAAATATTTTTGTGCACATAATATCCTATACATGACATCTGAATATGTTAAATAGATATTGTGCAAAGTATTGCGTAATCTAATGTTACAGGGAGTGTTGTTAGCCAAATATCTGACTCCATTTAATATTTTTACTTCTCTTAAGCTATACATTAGATTTTTTAAAAATCCATTAAAAGAATGTTATTTAGGAAATTAGGAAAAGCTCAACTTACAGTTGCCCGACAGTGCACCCTTCCCGTGAATGAGGCAGGGGTCCAGTGGAAAAAAAAAAGTATATCATCATATAATTAAAGACTATGTGATAATGAAATTCATGAGCAACTGTAAATCTGCCGTTTCCTAAATTTCAAGCACTTGACTTTGCAATCTAAATAACATTATTTTAATGTAGTTTTTTTGGGGGGGTGGGATGGTGGGGAGGGAGTATCTATAGTTTCCTAGGTTTTTTAAAAGGAAAAAAACAAAAGTATGTTGTGTTCTATTCAGCTACAAAAGACCCCCTATCATGCAACAGTAGGGTTAAACCCCTGAATCTTGAGCTCTGTAGTATAGATTGCTACCACATGAGCTACAGGACTAACAACCTCAGCTGGCTAAAGGAAAGGCTACTATTCCAGAGGGGGGCAGTGGGCAACTGAGGACATGTGCTGAGTCTATGGAGCCGTCACCAGGACTGGCCTAATTCTCTCTCTTCTGTCCCAATCTTGGGAGATAGGGGAGCCCCAGCTCCATGTACCCCTCTGGGTGGGGGAATGAGTCACTGGGGCCACCTGCTAGGGCCAGGGCCATGGAATGGGAACTGAGCCCAGCCCAATTTTTTTCACCCTCCCCCTGTCAGCTGCTCTGACATCACCTAGGTAGAGCTGGTTGGAAAATAGAGTGGGCGGGTGGTTCCATGGAAAATTTCAACAAAAACTTTTTTCGTCTGCTTGTTTTACTCTGCATTTTCTATGAAAATTTTCAATTTTTTGGCAAAATTTTTCAGCCAAAAAAACAAAATATTGCTATTCAGAATGGCATTGTGGTCCCTCATGGGAGTTCCAGTTCAGGGGCTTTATGCTCCCATTCTGCTCTATGGGACTAGCTCTCCGATAACTCTCTGATATACTCATAGACTTTAAGACCAGAAGGAACCATCATGATCATCTAGTCTTGCCTCCCGCACATTGCAGGCCACAGAACCTTGCCCACCCACTCCAGTAATAGACCCCTAATCTCTGGCTGAGTTACTGAAGTCTCAAGTCATGATTTAAAGACTTCAGAGAATCCACCATTTACACCAGTTTAAACCCACAAGTGATCCATGTCCCATGCTGCAGAGGAAGGTTAAAAAAAATCCCCATGGTCTCTGTCAGTCTGACCCAGGGGAAAATTCCTTTCCCACTCCAAATATGGTGATCAATTAGCCCCTGAGTATGTGGGCAAGACCCACCAGCCAGATACCTGAAGAAAAAAAAATTCTCTGTAGTAACTCAGCTCCCTCCCCATCTAGTGTCCAGACATTGGAGATATTGGCTACTAGCAGTCACAGATTGGCTACATGCCATTGCAGGCAGTCTCATCATACCATCCCCTCCATAAGCTTATCAAGATAACTGGTAGCTTGTTAGCTTTTTTGCCTCCAGTACTCCCCTTGGAAGGTTGTTCCAAAACTTCATTCCTCTGATGGTTAGAAACCTTCATCTAACTTCAAGTCCAAACTTGTCGATGGCCAGTTTATATCCATTTGTTCTTGTGTCAACATTAGCATGTCACTTACATAACTCCTCCCCCCTCCCTGGTATTTATCTCTCTGATGTATTTATAGAGAGCAATCATATCTCCCCTAAGCCTTCTTTTGGTTAGGCTAAACAAGCCAAGCTCTTTGAGTCTCCTCTCATAAGATAGGTTTTCCATTCCTCTGATCATCCGTAGTAGCCCTTCTCTGCACCTGTTCCAGTATGAATTAATCTTTCTTAAACCACAATTGCACACAGTATTCCAGATGAGATCTCACCAGTGCCTTTTATAATGGTACTAACACTCCCTATCTCTACTGGAAATACCTTGCCTGATGCATCCTAAGACTGAATTAGCCTTTTTCATAGCAAAAATTCTTGTTGTTAGTCCCTAAGCGCATGGCCTTGCACTTTGCACTATTGAAATTTCATCCCATTTCTATTACTCCAGTTTTCAAGGTCATCCAGATCTTCTTGTATGATATTCTGGTACTCCTCCATATTGGCAATACCTTCCAACTTTCTGTCATCTGTAAATTTTATTAACGCACTCCCACTTTTTGTGCCAAGGTCATTAATAAAAATATAAAATAAGATTAGTTACAAGACCAATACCAGAGGAACTCCACTAGTAACCTCTCTCCAGCCTGACAGTTCACCTTTCAGTATGACCCATTGTTGTCTCCCCTTTAACCAGTTCCTTATGCACCTTTCAATTTCCATATTAAGCCCCATAGTCTCCAATTTAACTAATAATTTCCCATGTAGAACTGTATCAAATGTCTTATTGAAATTCAGGTAGATTAGATCTACTGCATTTCCTTTGTCTAAAAAATCAGTTATCTTCTCAAAGATGGAGATCAGGTTGGTCTGGCAAGATCTACCTTTTGTAAAACCATGTTGTATTTTATTCCAATTACCATTTACTTCTATGTCCTTAATGACTTTCTCTTTCAAAATTTGTTCCAAGACCTTGCATACAGTTGAGGTCAAACTAACAGGCCTGTACTTTCCCAGATCACTTTTTTTCTCTTTCTTAAAAATAGGTACTATATTAATAATTCTCCAGTCATAGGGTACAACCCCAAGTTTACAGATTCATTAAAAATCCTTGCTGTTAAGCTTGCAATTTCATGTGCCAGTTCCTTTAATATTCTTGGATAGAGATGATCCAAGACCCCCAGTTTAATCCAATTAAGCTGTTTGAGTTTGACTTCCACATCGGATGTGGTAATTTCTACTTCCATCTCCCATAATGTATCACTTTCTCCCATTTTGGTATCAGAAGAAGGTGCATCATAGGAGTCCTTGGCCATGATGCATCATGGGAAATTTAGGCCAGCCAGAGAGGCATAAGCCCAGCACTTTGGAATGTTCCTGTGTTCAGTTATTTTGGCAAGTTGCCAAAAAATTTCTGAAGACCATAAGCCAGAGAAGGAAAATTATGATTTTCCATAGTATCTTATGGAAAGCTGAATGAAATTTCATGGGGCAAATGAAAGGCACTTCCCTAGCTCAAGAGTATTCTGCTGCTGAATACCAAAGGTATGAGAGCTTCTTGAAGAAAAGGTCACAAAAATACTTCATAATCATAGAGGAGAGTATTGAGGAACTTAAAGAAAGAGGTTACTACCAGCTCCCCCTGCAATAACCATGTCTTCTTATTATCCAATAGCTTCAACAGAGAGCAAAAATTAATAAAGCTGTGAAAACCATTAAGCTACCTAACACAGACACTGATCCCAAACCAGGAACAAAGTGCCAAGTAGCAGGATGGGGAATAATTAAGAATCGAGACCGTAAACCTTCTGATATCCTGAGGGAAGTCAACATCACCATCATCGACAGAAAAACCTGCAATGATCAGAATCACTATAATTATCAACCCATGATAACAATGAACATGGTGTGTGCTGGCGATAAGAATGGAGGAAAAGACTCATGTGTTGTAAGTAGATATGCTGGTTGTATCCATTTAAAGGCTCTTAAAAATAAAATGTAGAACAATGGGTATGATGGCCCCTCAGAGTGCTCAGGTCTTTAGTTCAGCTGCAAAACAAGTGTTTACACTAGGGGGGGATCGATCTAAGTTACGCAACTTCAGCTACGTGAATAACGTGAATAACGTAGCTGAAGTCGACATACTTAGATCTACTTACTGCGGTCTCTTCACTGCGGTAAGTCGATGGCTGATGCTCTCCCGTCGACTCCGCCTGTGCATCTCACTCTGGTGGAGTACTGGAGTCGACGGGAGAGCGCTCGATTGATTTATCGCGTCTAGACTAGACGCGACCCCCGCTGGATCAATCGCTGCCTGTCGATCCAGCGGGTAATGTAGACAAGCCCTTTGTATGTCTGAGATTTATAAAGGATTGTGCTGATCTGATTTCCTAAGACTTAAAATCAAAGCTTCTGATTTGTAAACTATCTTGAGGGCCACTGGACTTTTATGCTTTTCTGAGCAGGGAAAATATTTTTCCTTTTCTGCAGTTAAATGGTCTTTAGTGGAAAAAGAGCAGTGGAAATGTCCAGTCTTTACAATGGTAATTCAGATTAAGCTACATGGGCCTATTCTAAAAGCCACTGAAATCAATGGAAAGACTCCCATTGACTCCATTGAGCTTTGAAACAGGCTTTACATGATCTAATGCATTTCATATGTACATAAGTCAAGTGATAAAACTAATTTCAGCCATATCAAGTGGTGATAGCTATACATAAACAGCCATATTTTTAAAATGTTTAAATATTTAATTGGTCAGGTTAAATATTATATCATGTTTTTTGCTATAAGTGGAATCATCCATCAAGGAGTGGACTTTTACAAAAACATTAGTACTCACATTCTCTTGCAGGTAATAAATGAGTACCCGCTGCAGACCCCACCCCAGTAACTCACGACTAGCCTTGTAGCTTATAGTAGTAAAAGCAATGGGGTACCATAAAATTTAATGCAGAGACACTCATTTAATAATTAAGAACTTAATATACCTGCACTCCAAGAGAAAATAAGTACAAGTTTACATTGAAGTTCCTAGGCCAGTCCTGTGGAGCAGTGAGTACCCTCCTCTGAAGAGTTGAGGGCACTCAAAAAACACTCTACAAAAGTTGCTCAAGAGCTTACAAGGTGAGGCCACAATCATCTGATTCTGCTGTTATTAAAGTCATTTGTATAACTCTCATTGACTTCAATGGAAGCAGAGTCAAGACCCAAGTCCTGTTTATATTTCTCATGAGTCATTTCATGGCCTTGTATCATTTCATTTCTGATACAGTAAAGGAACACCCAAGTGCATTTGGTGGATTCAAAAAGGAGGTTGCCCAGCCTATCCAGAAATAATGGCTTATACCTTACAATGCACTAACAAGTCACACCCATTCCTTCGTTTCATGTCCTGCATCTTTCTCTCATACAGTCTGCCATCAGGAATGATCCAAGGCTGCTGTTCTAAAAATATCTGAGACAGTCTAAAAAATGTATTGTATATCATATTTATACACTAAATTGATCCTAGTTTATGCAATGCATTTTCAGGATTTAACAAAGTCTGATTTAGTTTATGACCACTTAGTCTCTGATCCTGAATATACTTTAGAAATTTATAACTTTAATCACATGAGTAGTGCCAATGAGGGCTTGAAGGGTCAGGAGAGGAGATACTACTTTGATGGGCATTATCAAAATTCCTAACATAGATGTTCAAATCCACTTTACATATAATCTAAATGAGTAGAAAGAGGAGAAAAAGACAAAGGGTTAACTCTTGTCTGTTGCAGAATATTCCATCCATATATATACACTGGGGGTATGGGGGGAAATCACACCTCTTGGCAAATTTGTCTAGTATATTATGGCTTGACTTATTGATGATTTCAAAGGTTTTTGTCCAATTCTCCATTGTCATAGAAGCCTCTCTGTCCAGCAATAAAAGGGTTAACACACTGTACTACCTGTTTTATACACATCCCAACGAGTACATTACTAAATGATTAATTTTCCAACCAACATAGAAGTTTTACTTTTCGATTAGATTTACTAATTATTTCCAGAAACTTTCTGCAGTCAAAGGACAAAGTTTCCAGTTTATTTCAGATTATAAAAAAAGGACATGTTCATTACTACTAAATTAGATTTATTCTCTATTTAATTCACAACTGAATGGATCAGATTCAAACCTTTTCTTTTTTTAAAAACAGAACACATATTCTTAGGAAAGATCAATAGAAGTAAGAATTCATTTCTGAAAACTTTCCTCAGACCTTGTCTACACACAAACACACACACACACACACACACACACACACACGCACCAGTTTAATTAGCAGTGTGTTTTCAAACCTTTGTAAATTCTGATGTCAAGTTTGTCTTCCTCTTCTTTAGGGGGATTCTGGTGGTCCTTTGATATGTAATGGTGAATTGAAAGGCATCACCTCCTTTGGCATGCCAAACAAGTGCGGTGTTGTTCAAGGCCCTGGTGTCTACGCACGTCTTACAAAGATACATCTTCTCTGGATAAAGAAAACCATAGGGGGTGACTTATAGATTGAGTCAGTCACTGACTGATTTTCTGTTGCTTTGATATACATTTATTTGTAACAAAATTTATTTTTGAATGATGCAGTCAGTATGATCAGAGTATTATGCAGTAGCGTCATTTACATACTATGGTTGAAGTAGTAATTTCACTATAAGCCCCTTCAATGGCTTGTAACTTTCCCATTAGAATTCACTTTGGGGCACATATTTTATATATGTGATTTCAGCAAAGAAATTACCTTAACCCCAGCACAACGTGAGCATAGCATTCTCCTATAACAGTATATGCCCTGTAGTCTCAGCCACAGAGGGGCTACACAGGTGCTTAATGGCTAAGGAGAGGAGTATTACTTCACCCTTACAAAGCACATTTACTAGATCTCTGCATAGATAATGAGCATTTCAGCTCAAGGTCCAATCCGACTCTCACTGAACTTAATAGAATTTGATCCTAATTGCATATTGAGAATAACTACACATATCTATATCTGGATTTCCGTAAAAATCCTAGAGAGTCACTGAGATTCTAGGAATAATCCCAGAATCCTGGAAATACTGTTGATACCTCTCCTTCCTTTGAAAATCCCATGATTTATTTTTGCCCCCCACCTTCTGAAGGCCCTCTGGCAGCCTGAGGACATGGAGTTTCAAAGACTGCATACTTTGTAGGGAAGTTTATTTGACTGTGAAATCTAATGATTTTGAATTTCCTAACTTCTATGTATTTCAAAACTTCAACCATTTCATTACATTATAATATTTTGCATTTAATAAAGAAAAGGCAATAAAGTTTGTGGCTTGAAATATGCAATTATCTGGAACACCCTGTCTCTTGCAGTAAAAATACTATGTGCAGTTTTGAACATGTAAACTATTTGCAAACCAAATCAGGGTATATACTTGTTTATAACATACATTATGTTAAACATTCAGCTGAAAACTCTATTGTGATGGAGTTTGCAGGGTGCAACCTAGACTGTGGGAGTGCTGAGCCCTCCAAACCCACCAACCTGGGCTGCCTCTCACATGTGATTCTGATGTCAAGTTACAAGCCTCTGCACTTACACAGACATCCAGAGGCAGGGACACACCCAACTGAGTTACATTAATGGTCTCCCAGCCACTCATGAACCATCAATAGGGAGGCTTCAACCAGTGCCCCCCAGCTCCCCAGTCTTGCACCCCAGAACTGTACCATCTTGCACTGGCCAGAAGCCTGCCCGGTGTAAGTTCATTACTTAGTTCGCCATTTCTTCATAGGAAAGTGGACATGCATCACCTTTGTGAAGCTGAGTTTAGATTCCCCCAAGCACTTCAACGAAAACACACTGTTTTAGATAAAATATAAACAGATTTATTAGCTACAGAACGATAGAATTTAAATGATTATAAGTAGCAGGCAAAGAGATCAAAGCTGCTTACCTAAAAAATAAAATAGAAATTCAGTCTAAATTCTAACTTTAACAGACTAAGCAAGATTTGAATTAAACAATGTCAGATGGTACAAGCAGCTTACAGTTCCAGCTGGAACCACTCTTCCCCAGTTCAAAGTCTTTTTCTTCCAGCTGTTCTTCCTGCTGTTGAGATGGTGGGGGAGAGAGGCCAATTGATGATGTCACTGTCTCTCTTTTCATACCTTCTTCCAGCTCCTAGAAAGATCCTTGCTGTGACATGGGGGGTCAGTCAGCCCCATTGTCAAGCAGTCTCCATTGCGTACATGCCTTCTTTAAGGAGCCTCAGGGATAGTGGATTGTTTTCTTGATGGGCCATTAATACTGTCTGGGCCCTCCTTTGTTGCAACTGAAAGGTTGGTTGTGGGTATACCGAACCTCACAACATATTTCAGTAACATATATAGCAATACCTCATAACTTCACATACAATGACAGTACATACGATCCAATAGGATATTAATGTTCAACCCATCATGACTTTTAACATGATACCTCACAAGGCGTACTTTGTACAAAACATATCATAATTATATGACAGTGGTAATATGGAGGTTCCAGGATGCTACTTGGAGGTACAGAGTGTCACACCTACATAAAACCCTCAAATGAAATGATAGACGATTTCTCTGGTTAGATAAAATATTAGTATAATAAATAGTAGCTGGTAAAATATAAAAGTCCTATTTCATAACTACAGTGTCAGTAGTTGGCTAGATTTCAGTGATATCTTAGCCATGAAATGATCAGACCACTTTTCCAACATTTCCAGCAACAGGATTGTGATCCAAAATGATGTATTGTCATGTGCATACTGATAAACTCAGCCACTTCCAGTTCCATAAATATCTTCAGAGTTTTTTCTCCAGCAGTAGGAAATAGCTAACAGATTTATGAGAGGAAAAAGAATATTTAATGGGTGGAGACATATTGCATATGATTTTAATTAAAAAGTCATTTTGTTGCATTCTTTGTGAGCTATTAAACATTGCAGATGATTAAAAAACCATAGCAAAACACAGACTATGCATATAGCATCACCTGACATATTGCTGGAGTTTAAAAAAAAAAAAAAAGCATTGTCATACCAATAACATCTGATGTGGGTAGGGAAAACAGAGAACTTTAAATTCCTGGGGCCCAAACTACATGTTTCTTACTAAAAGTTCCAAAGACAAAAATATCTGTTCAATATTTCATGAGTGTTTCTATTGCATCAGGTCAGTATTTCAGTATTCAGTATTTTTCCTCCTAAAAATAGTTTTGCATAGAATCATAGAACTAGAAGGGACCTCGAGAGGTCATCTAGTCCAGTCCCCTGCACTCAAGGCAGGACTAAATATTATCTAGATCATCGCTGATAGGTGTTTGTCCAACCTATCTTAAAAATCCCCAATGATGGAGATTCCACAACCTCCCTAGGCAATTTATTCCAGTGCTTAACCACTCCTTTCAGTTAGGAAGCATATTTCCTGCTATTACTTATTTAACTTTTTTTTCTGTAAAAAGAACCACACACACACATAGTGGGTAAATAAGAGAATAGAAGGATACCAGGCCAAATGGGATTACACCAGGGTATCTGAGAGCTGAATTTGGCCCAGGGACTGAAATTTACACCCAAAATATTCTGCCTAAGCAGAGGGAATAAAATTAATTGTACTCTATTAAATAAAAGTCTGAACAATTTCTTTTTCTCTTACCAGCACAAAGCCGGTGGTTAGTGGGGAAGTGATTCTAAAAATCCAAGTAGACAGAAAAAGATATAAAGATTTTTAAAGTAAAATGTAATGGAAAATATGTAGTTGATATTCAAAGACACTTGCCATTTGGGACTGTTTCTATCTTGTGTTGCTCTCTTCCCACAAACTCCCCTTAATTCCTTCTCTGTTCTTTCTGTTCACTCTTGTTTTGTTGTCATTGTCTTATTTTCACCTTATTGTAGCATTTTCTCCATCTTCTTTTCTTCTAATCTGCTCCTTCTCTTTACCTTCATTTTGGATGTTAGAGACACCAAACTTATCAGTTAAAAACAACAATTTGCTCAGAACCAAAGATTCATCCTTTCTCCATTTCACGGTCAGAAAATGTTCATGGTCCTCCCAGCACAGGGGTTCTCAAACTGGGGGTCAGGACCCCTCAGAGGGTCGCGAGGTCATTACCTGGGGGGGTCGTGAGCTGTCAACCTCCACCCCAAACCCTGCTTGCCTCCAGCATTTATAATGGTGTTAAATATATTAAACAGTGTTTTTAATTTATTAGGGGGGTCGCACTCAGAGGCTTGCAACGTGAAAGGGGTCGCCAGTATAAAAGTTTGAGACCCACTGTCTTAGCATAACAGAACCCAAGAGACTAGGAAAGAGTGGGTCTGGCAAAGTAAAGTTCTAAGAGATATGCTGGGCTAGAAGAGAGGTGATAAGCATGCACAAAATATGAAGCCTTCCTTCTCTAGGGCAATGTCTTGAATCTTGCCCAGTTTGATTCTGGTGGATAGCAATTATTTTACCTGAATGTTGTTTGACGGCTTCGGTAAGATCAGTTGGACTCAGCATCATTCCTCCTAGTGGCTCAGGACTCACATAGTAAAAATAACCTAAATACCTCTGTCGCTGTTTAAACTTGTTGGCATTTACAGCAAAGACACTAGCGAGCCTGGATACTGAAATGCCCTCTCACCTAAAACGGAAATATCTTCAGATCAAGAAAACAGCACTCATTCCCATCAGATCTCCCCCTCTAGGGAACGGGCAATAAAAGTTTATTGGATAGATAGGGAAGAGTGACCATGATTATCTAATGACATGTTGCCATCTAGAATGCAATGATTTCCACTTACTATAGGCTAATGAGGTAGCCAGTGAGAAATGAACAGGCATAATTATTTAACCATTGAATCATCACAGCAGACTATCCGTAGCAGTGAAGGCCTGATGCATGTAAGATAAGGTGATGAAGTCAAGCAAGCAAGTCACTGGTCTGTTCTTTAGTGGACATTTCAGTAGGTCATACTGTAAGCTAACAGAAGAGCTCCATGGATCTAAATTTTCTAATCTCTTCAGTCATGCAGCACTCTGAGAACAACTTTGTTATATTCTAGAGAAACCAGCACGATGCAATCCTTGAACTGATTATTCAAGAGACTGCTATTTGTAGACATAATTTTTGTGCAGTTCTTTATTCTGATACTCATTCTACAGTGTTCCATCTATGGCAGACGTGCTAAATTACATCATGTCCATGTCACAAAAGGCAGTAAAAAAAAAACAAAATTCCACAGTCTTTTTTATTGTGTTTTCAATACATGAATACTTAAAATGGATGCATTCATTAGTGCATTAATTTAATTTAATCTAATTATTTATTTAAATACATCTGTAGGTACCCATCCAGTGTTCTGGGCACCGATCCTAGAAATGAAAAATACAACATACAGATAGAAAAATGACTGCCCATAAATATATCCATCTCAATCTACTTCATCCTCAAAAGCCTTAGCAAACAGCGGGAAAAGATGGGCTTTGCTGTGTGCTCAAAAGCTTAACAAATATTAACTCTGACAGCCCAAGGAAAGGAGCAAGTTCCCACATCACCATTAAATGTAATGCCAATGGAAAAATTAGAATGAATCAAGATTTCACATTTTAAGGACCTCTGCAATGTAAGAAGGAGAAAGGATCAGCCTCACAGTACTGTATTTTCTGAGAACTCCCTTCCAATTTATCAAGAAAAGTATGATCAGATTCAAAACAAATATCTCCCCTAATCTAGTTGGTGAAGTTATGATGTTCAAACTTCCCCAACAGCAAAAGGGGGGGAAATCCCAGAAATAAGGAGAAAATAAACAAATTCACAATTTACTGTTCCCTCTGCTTTCCCTGCAACTGAGAGGGAAAAAATCACTATTCTGGTCACAGATTTTAAATGCTTGTTAAATTCAGCTGCAATAGCCATGTTCATACTGGAAGACAAACTCTGAATTAATAATTTCCTGTTCTTAGACCTCAGCTTTTTTGTAGCTATTTCTATGTGCACCACCAAAGAGTTCTTATTTTCCAACCTGCTTTGAAGTAAGACCACAATAGGTGGCCACTAAACCAGAGGCTTTGGGCTGTATCACACTTATTGTAAATGAACAACTTTTGATGTGCTTGTGATATTTGAGAAAATGCAACTAGTGGTGTCTGCTCTCCGGCCCTAAAGTCAGTTCTTACGTGATTTATAAATGTGGTTTTAAATAATGGATGAGAACAAAAGATGTGACCGTCGTAGATTCATTTCCAGATGCCTCTGCAGCCCCCTTAACGTTGTCTGCCCTTCGTCACCCATTCAGCCGCAGCTGAATTTTCCTTTCTGAAAACCATGGGCTGACTTTATATCACTCATCGCAACTCCCACCTCCCCAGCTGAGTTACAGGAACCATTCTAATATTTTTCAGATAGAAAGGGCCATGAGTTTCTACTCTTATGGGGCTCTTTTTACACAGAAAGGGTTTCAAGGGTCTTTTTGGGAACAGAGGCAAGCCTTTCCTTCTCTCTTGTCTCTCATTAGCCCATTCCAAGTCCATTGCTTCTCCTGCTTTCAGATGATGGAAGGAGAATGCCAGAGACATTTGTGGAGTTGCAAAGGCTTTAAAATGCTTTGAATGAGAGCTTGCTGATCACTGGGCCAAATCCTGCAGTTCTTATTTAGCTTATGTCAGTATTCAGTCCTTATTCAGGCAAAGTCTTACTAAAAATCAAAGAGAATTTGCCCCAGCAAGTATGAAATAAAGCCCATGCAACTATGACAGCTATAATCTTTGCTAATGCAGGGGATCAAACTGGTGACCTCTAAAGCGAAAGACGTAAGTCACCACAGCTTAAGCCAAAAGCCACACATCCTGGCTGCAACAGACTCACAGCCTCTGTTTCCTGGACATAGACAAGTAACTGACTAGCAAGTTACAAAAAGACCATATAATTATGATTATTATGCATGTATTATTTTAGATGTTAAAAACTTTTTGAAATACAGAGGGGTGGGGTTTAATAAAAGCCTCCCTAGGTTTCAGAATCTGAGCTCCAACTTCAAAGTACTGTTTACACAGCTATTTTTATTGTGCTAGCACAAACCCTGCTAATCCAAGTCTGTCAACCCAGGCTGGGAGGCTTGCTTCTGTAGGCTGTGTATACATGCCCTAAGGGACTGTACTCCTGAGAATCGGACAATGTAGAACTTTTCATTAGGCCTATGGCTCAAAACATGCATTAAGTGAGACTTAATTGGTGCATAATCCTCGTGCTCGGTGCATGTGTGAATGCCACCCATGGTTATTGGTTTAAGGAAAACAAATGTGATAGTATTAATCAGAGTTAGAATGTTCTTCATCTAAAGCACAGACAGTGCAGCGTGTTCCATGTGATAATGAACTAAGGTGTTATCTTTATTCCATGTTTCATTTGGAAAGAATTTATTATTTGGAAAGATTTGTTGGATTACTGTCATTACTGTCATTGTATTACTGTCATTGCCAAAAACCGTTAACGGCTCACTTTCAAAAGTCAATGGAAAAAAGTTGCCACAACTAACTAGAATAATCCTCCTGAAAGTCCTTGCTTCTGTGCTTGCTTTCACCAGATTAGCAGTATTTCCACACACAAGCCATTCCATCAGCTGCAAGAGAAAAGATCCTGCTATGATCTGGGCTCAGTGCTATGTGCAAGACTCTTCCTTTATGACCTACAAAGCAAAACCACAATATTTATAACAGAGATCAGGGAGATGTCAGGATTTTAAAATGAGAAATCTTTGCCATTTTGAAAATTGCCCACCCATGGTAAGGCCTGGTTTACTATAACTACAGTTGCACAACATGTTGCATAGGATGTGCTGTTTGGTTTGGGCAAGCCTAAGATTTACAGCAGTTTTACATTAAGAAAAAGCTGAAAGCAAAATTTTCCTCTTATTAGGGGCCACATTTGAACTATCGGGACTTTACAAAAGCTCCGCAAGGCTTTTCTCTCAAAGGAGAATATTATGCCACTTTGTCTTAAACCTGAACTCTTGGTTCTCCACTGCAGTCAAAATATGTGTCTAATCTATGACTGGTAATGGGTCTCACTACTGATCTTTCTCCTGTGGCTGCACATGCTTCTCAGACACTTTGCCACGGATCCAGCAGTTATGAGATAGTGTCTCCAACTTCTGAGTTATTTGCACTATAAAGCCCTCTTGAAAAAGCTCCTACACAATAACTTATTGGAGTTGTACGTTGAGTGCACCCATGGTTATAGAAAAAATTAGGGGCAAGATTCTGGCTGCCGGCTGTGGCCACTTTGCACCAGTCCACCAGCACAAAGCTGCAAAACTAGCTTCCCTGGTTATGCAATGATTCCCCCAGCATGCAGGCCTAGCTGAGAAAATTCAGACAGAGCCATAGCAGAAAGATGGACAAGTATTATACTGGGATTCAGGAGAGCTGGTTCAGTTTCCTGGTCTGCCATAGACTTCCTGTGTGACATTCTCTCTATGCCTCAGTCTCCATCTGTAATATGGGAATAACAGCACTTCCCTACCTCGCAGGGATGTTGAACAGATAAATACATTAAAAAGGGGAGATGCTCAGATGGCAATGAGGGCCATATGAGTCTCTTAGAGTCAGGGCTGGCTCCCGCATGCGATCGGCGGCGGCAATTTGAAAAAAAGAGCCGCGATCGGCGGCGGCAGTTCAGCGGCAGGTCCTTCGCTCCTAGAGGGAGTGAGGGACCTGCCGCCCCCGAATTGCCGCAGGTGCCGCCCCTCTCCCTTGGCCGCCCCAAGCACCTGCTTGTTAAGCTGGTGCCTGGAGCCGGCCCTGCTTAGAGTGGCCTAGTACTGCCAGGCTGCTGGAATGGCCCCTTGCGGCCATTGTGATTTAGAGCAAATTAGAGTAGTCCTGATGCTGATTAATGTGTCACTTGGCAGAGGCTCTAAGGGTATGTCTACACTGCAGCTGAAAACCCGTGGCTGGCCCGTGTCAGCTGACTCAGGCTCATGGGGCTCGGGCTAAGGGGCTGTTTAATTACTCAGGCTGGAGCCCAGGTTCTGGGATCCCACAAGAGGGGAGGGTCCCAGAGCTCAGTCCTCCAGCCCAAGCCCCAGCGTCCACACTACAATCAAACAACCCCTTAGCTGGGGCTCATGAGACCCAATCAGCTGACACAGGCTAGCCACAGGTGTTTAATTGCAGTATAGACCAAGTTGCTGGCACACAAGAGAAGCATAGGAATATATTTGTACAGCCACTTGGTTGGCTGGACCCTCCCCAGAGACTCTGTGGAGTATACACCATAAGAGTTCCTCTTAACCCCTCAAAACAGGTCTAAAGAGGGATCTAGGTGTTCCACAGGCTTTATGCGGATGCTTCATGGTGGGTGAATTTCACCTCAGGATTGAATTTCACCCAATGCAACCCTAATGGATGAAAATGGATTAAGATTTACTATCAGTACCATGGTAGAAAGACATAGAGTGGTATGAAAGCCAGCCAGTGTGTATCAGTGATTAAACACTGCACAAAAATGCACCAAAAAGGTGCCAGAAAAAGTATTTTTAAATGAACAGACACTCTTATGATACAAAAAATAGAAAGCCATGTTAGTGATAACTTGCCATTGAGCAGGCAAATACATGACACACAAATGGAACTGCAGTAAATACTTACACAATTTAGGTATACAAATGTGTGCATTTTTGTACATAAACTGGACATGTGTTTTAATTTAATTTTGGATGCCTGTGCTGAATTGTTTCAGATTATGCTGAAACAAGTGATGGTCTGTAACTTAGCATATGGGAGTGACAGCTAAAACAAGCACAAATTGCAAGAAAAGACTCTAATATGACGAATTCCTGCACCACAGCCCCATGAACCATGCGCATAGCAGAAAGGAAAACACACTCATTCTAGCTGTCACTGTGGTACATGACACACATTCCTTTGCACTATGAGGTCAAAGTCATTCATTTAAACAAAGAAAAAGCTAATTAGCAAATGGACATGTGGAAAGAATTATTTCAAAAGTTATTTTGGAAGCAGCTGCTGGCCCAGTGTTCTACAGGTAGCACTCTGAGCTGCTAGATTCAATATCCACATTCAGCTTGTGGACTATATCTTCCAGGCCAGAACAGGATGGGAGCAGTCTTGCATTAGTACACTCAATCCCACGGAAGGAAGAAGGGATAAGTCTGGGAAAGCTTTGTATTGTCCATATCAGCTAATTTTTGAGACAATGTTGAAACAAGAATTCTATCCAGTCCTCCATGCTCAGTGAAATTGTACTGTGGGACCTACAGAAGAGGAAGAAATGGTGGGCACCCTCAGACTGGGTCTTAGATGGCCTCCAGCATAATATATGCTGATGTAAAGGGATCCCATTACCAAAAAAGTATTTTTATAGAGATAGTTTGTTGTTAAGTTAAATAAGCTAAAAAACAGCCTTTCCAATCACATACATAGACATCCATTGTGTGTGCATGTGTGCACATGGATAGATAATTAGATGCACATATATAGTATGTATATATATACTGTATATAGATATTAATTCATGAGTACACAGAGTATGTGTATATTCAGTATAAAATATTCAAAATATATTCAATCACACCAGTATGTGAGTGCGACTGAAAAGGCTGCTTTTTTAGCTTGTTTTATTTGTGTGTGTGTGTAAATACATAGATTACATATATAGAGCGAGAGAAAGTGCAACTAGGGAGATAAAAACTGGTTTACTGAAATACTTACCATAGAGATCAGTTGAATTTGTAAGTGTGGGATACTTCCATATTTTCATCTGATTTTTAGGGAGACCTTGTCCACTCATTAATTCATTGGTTTTGGGTAACCAGAACAGGGAGCAAATCTAGTGTAATTTAAAAAATCATTTAAATCTTTTTAAAGGCTCTACATGTACCATTCAACTGTTTTAGACTGACAATGTTCTTAGTAAATGCTCAAAATGTACAAGTTCCTGAGCAACAACAGAAAAATAGTTCCATATTCATGTAGGAAGGATTATTTGATTTCCCTCTATAGCGACTGTTGCTGAGTGCAGCTGCATTATCATCCTTTCTAAAAAGGATGGCATCCTGCCAGATCTAAAAACAAAATCCTCAGCCACAGACTCAGCTCATGGAAATCGGTATAGCTCCAGAGAAATCAATGGGGCCATGACAGTTTACACCACTTGAAAATCTGTCCCACTATCTCCTCATATTCAACCTACGGAGACTGATTGTTGTTCTCTGACTCCTCATGCCTCTCCCCACTCTAGTGCTCTCATGGTTCCTGGGAAACCTGCTTCTCTCACATCTTCCTCTCCTCATTAGGCATTTGGTCAATACCAGGGTTGATGGATAGCACATGGCCTTGCTATGAGACCACTTCCCTGTTATCTCCTCTCTGACCAGATTAAAAGTTGTGAGGAAACAGGGGTGGTGATGACTGGCACATGAATGAATGATCCTGAGCCCAACGAGATAACACAGCACTGAGTGTAGTCAAAATATATATACAGACAGACAGAACCCTGCAGCCATTCTGTACACAGAACTCCCATTGAAGTCAATGGGAGTTTTGCCAGAAGAATATAGCTGTACGCGAGGTGAGTGCAGCTCACAGAGCTTAAGTGTGAAGATATTTTATGCATTCACCTGAGATTTTGTGTCTGTGGTTTCAATGATTTTCCCAGTGCTTACGTCCCAGATACGTAAAAATCCATCCTTCATTCCACCTCCTGTGGCAAGGATTTCTGACTGCCATGGACACCAGTTCATAGCCTAAAGGAAAATAAATAGATAAGATGCTGGATTAGAAGGTGGTTACTTGGAAGAGGGGAAATGGGGAATGTAATTGATTTTGCCTATAAAATGGATTGGAGAAATGAAGCACAGTCACTCAGAACACACCTGGGTCAGAACTCGAGGTGCATCCCAATGCACACATACCTAACTCAGCCCAGACTGCTTCCAGGGAAACCACAAATGTAGGCTCCCTCCGCTCCAACCACTGCTTCAGGCTCCCATTGCCAATGCTTCACTGTGGCCTCACTGCTTCCATTTAAGCCCATAAAATTCAGGTTCTCTTGGCTCCAGCTGTTGCTTATACCTCATGTTTCATAGATCCATACATTTTAAGGCCAGACAGGACTGCAGCACCTCACTCTATATGACCTATATGCTTCCACGCTTCTAGGACTTCTTCAGACTGCTTCTGGGCTAATCCTGAGTTGTAGACTATACCTGGTGGAGTGCCAATAAAACCCAGGATTCCACCAATTTCAGCTGCTTGCCAGTACCTTTTACTGCTGCTGTTCCTATTTTCAGGGATACACAGCCCATAAAACCTGGGTTCCCTCGACTCCCGTTTCTGCTTTCTTCCATCTTTCCTCTTCCACAGATTCAGGTATTTTAAAGATGAAGGAGCCCATAAAATCTAGGTCCCCCACATTCAATAATCTGGTGCTTCCCTTCATTACTCATCCCATCATAAGCATTGTCACCAAATGTCACACCCATGAAGGAAAGCAAGGTTATGAGGGGAAGGAAAACACCTTGTTTTTTAAAAATTCCAGGAGAAATAGCTACAATTTTATTCTAATGCTTATCTTCTAGAAGTGGCAGAAAGTTTTTGTATTAATCCTCTGATGCTGAGCTACTGATTTTGTTGCTGTACATTTTATTTTTATTTGGTATCATAGTTAAAATAGCTCCTAAATGGAAAAAAAAAACCCCACCGAGAAACCAAAGCACCAGCAAAAACTGCTAATAACTTACTTGTGGTCTAGAATGATTCATTAGGGGAACTGGTGTCTGAAATTAACTTTAGTGCATTCTGGGTAGCAGAAGTTAAGCAGGACCATTCAGACAACCCTAAAAGTTTAAAAGACCATGTACAGCAATGGAAGAAATACTATTGTAGCCAATTATTTTAGTTTATTGTTCATTTATTGTGTTGCTATGATTAACTAACATGTTATGTCATATATAATCATTGTATGTTAAATAGAGTAAATTGTAGGATTATAGAAGTATAAAATTGATCAGTAGTTAGAAGGAACAATCATGCATTAGGTATCTAAGTAATTAGGGCTGAAGCACAAGGCCTACAGGCTGAGGCCTGTAAGATTTTAGCTTAGCTATACTAGGCCATAGAGATAAGAAATCTTAACCCTATGCCCTAAGATTACAGGAAAAGATGTACCAATGGGTGAAATTAACAGTAAGAGTAATTTTTGCTTACAAGATACCCAGTAATCACATTTTTCTAGCACATGCCCTAACCGCAGAGTGCACTACGTCCATAAATGCTAATGAGGTATAGTCAGAATTACATTATAAAAAGAGGGTGCCTAGAGCAGGAAAATTGAGCTCCCTATGGGAAACTCCAGCAGGAACCATCCCTCTACTGATGAGCAATTCCTGAGAAACCCCCGGACCCTAACACTATTGTTAAGGATGCCAGGGCCAGCTCCAGGCACCAGCCCTCCAAGCATGTGCTTGGGGCGGCACCTGGAGGGGGGCGGCGCTCACCCGGGGAGAGCGGGGCCGTGGCCGGGCTCGCCGCCCTCCCCCGGCGTGCCGGCCAGCCAGGAGAGCGGGGCCCTGGCCGGGCTCGCCGCCCTCCTCCCGGCGCTCCGGCCGGTTGGGGAGAGCGGGGCCCCAGCCGGGCTCGCCGCCCTCCCCCGGCGCTCCGGCCGGCCATGGAGAGCGGGGCCACGGCCGGGCTCGCCACCCTCCCTCCAGCGCTCCGGCCGGCCGGGAAGAGTGGGGCCGCCCTCCCCCGGTGCTCTGGCTGGCCGGGGAGAGCGGGCCCACGGCCGGGCTCGCCGCCCTCCTCCTGGCGCCCCGGCCGGTCGGGGAAAGCGGGGCCCCGGCCGGGATCGCCGCCCTCCGCGCGGTGCTCCGGCCGGCCGGGGAGAGCAGGGCCACGGCCGGGCTCGGCGCCCTCCCCTGCCGCGCTCTCCGTGGGGGGGGCGGCGGGAGGTTTTTTTGCCTGGGGCAGCAAAAAAGCCAGAGCCGGCCCTGAAGGATGCGAGTATAACTATATTTGTGACTTGCGCATAGGTCTGTATAAAATTTCTATATGCTTGGGCAATCATCACTTTAATTGTAACTTTAATAAAACTTGTACAACGGCTAATCTATTTTACTTGTGAATGTCTGTGTGGTCACTACCTTTGGTCTTTGTATGTTCCTAGACACTCTAAATCAGTGGTTCCCAAACTTGTTCCGCCGCTTGTGCAGGGAAAGCCCCTGGCGGGCCGGGCCGGGTTGTGTACCTGCTGCATCCGCAGGTTCGGCCGATCGCAGCTCCCAGGTGATCGCGGGCCATTGGCCTGGAGCAGCAAACCGCGGCCACTGGGAGCCGCGATCGGCCGAACCTGCGGACGCGGCAGGTACACAAACCGGCCCAGCCCACCAGGGGCTTTCCCTGCACAAGCAGCGGAACAAGTTTGGGAACCACTGCTCTAAATCTAAAGCAAGTAACAGAGGTGACTTTCACTCTGTTAAGCTTGAAACTGTAGCCACTGTATAATACCCAGGGCAATCCGGGGGGAGAGGGGGGAGGACAAGTGCGGCAATTTGGGGCCCCCACGAGAATATAGTATTCTATAGTATTGCACTTTTTTTTTAATGGAAGGGGCCCCCGAAATTGCTTTGCCCCAGGCCCCCTGAATCCTCTGGGCGGCCCTGATAATACCACATTACAAAATTCACTTTAAATAAAATAAAAGGCTACACTATTTTATCTTGACAGCCTTTTATTCAGGTCATAGTTCTACTGCATCAGCAATAATACTGCATGTAAATATGTTTAGAAAAATATCTATTCTCTCTGTTAAATGTGCTATATATGAAATAAAATAATAGAGCATTTTTCCTTTGTACCTTTACTGCTGAGGCATGGGGTATGGCTTTCAATGGCTTGCAATGCACTGTCGCACCGGGGTCATTAGGCCAGATATTCAATAGACCATCACTGGACCCACTTGCCAGCAGCTTGTTGTTTGTGGACCATTTCAGGCTGCAAATGCTCTGCTTGTTATGGCAAAGGGTCCCTACATGGTGCTGAGAAATCCGAACATCATGATGATGAATTAATCCGAGTCTTGAACCACTGTAGATGGGAGGAGACAGCATCATTTAGCACAATAGAGCTCAGATTTCTTTGCAAATTCACAAGTCTTCTGTGGTTTCAGAAGAAAAACACAACAATGGGGGAGGGGGATCATGTATGTCAAATAACAAGATGACGAACCAAAGGCAAAACAAGCCAGTGTCAAAAGCGTACTCAAGTTTTAGTGCTGCCATACAATGGATCAGGGATAAGTGGATGCCCAGCCCAGGTCAGGGAGATTAAATGTTCTCCATTATACATTGCACTTACCTGAAGAGATAGTCTAGTGTATGTTACCAATTTCCCCCTATAAACAATTAAATTAAATCACTTCCATTATCCTTAAGAAAAGCACTCAGCCATTTTTTCTGTATTGTGAAATGTTGCAAGGTCAATTGTGGCTTTGCCATGACTCCCAGCTAAGGGGCAGTACATAGTTGCATAGCCCCAGGAACAGATCAGGAACCAGACGTTGACTCACAGAGTCACCATCAGGTCGCTGGTTCCCCAGCTCCTGCAGGGTGAGAGGTAATCGGTACCAACCCCAAACCTGGCTCCATTTACTTTCCCTGCCATGCTGGCTCAGCTGTGCTGACTGGCATTTTGGGGAATGGATCCAAGGCTGTACCCTCTCCTGAACCCTCTTATAGGAAGGCAAGTAATGGCCCCCAGGGAATTAAGGGGGCTCCCTTACTACCCTGGGAGCATAGCCAGGGTCACAGTCTGGTTCTTGGTGGCGTGGTTATTATACAGCACAAAAATGCCAGGCAAATTAATAATATTTAAAAATACCTTGCTGCAAATATACCATTCTCTACCCAGCAAAGGATTCCATCTACAGCAAATCAGTGGCAAAATGAGAGATCCTTACACGGGAAATTCATAAATTCATTCTGACCAAACTGGGAAAACTACTATCTAGATTAATAATAACTTTCCTTACTTGGTAAACCCAGGCACCTGACATTACTACAAGAAGATCTGGTTAATATAATAATTACAGCAAACTATCCCATAGAGTATATTGTCAAAGCCACTTTGTGTTGAGCTTTTCTTTCAAGACAGGCTTTTATTCTTAGGTTTTTCATATGCAAGTCAAGTATCGCTTTGCCTTGTAGCCTCTTGTTAACATAAATGCAAAAAGAAATGACTGATTTGTAAGTTTCATTAGCCTGTGTTATATTGACGTGCTAAGTTACTGAAATTAATGAAGCCCCCAAATGCCTGAATAGATTCCAACAAGATAGACCACCACTTTAGCGTAAGTACATGGTTACAAAATGGCAGATTTCTGTGTATTGTGAGTTTGGGGTGATACCTTCTTCTGGATACTTTAAGGGGAATTAGAAGACCCCCTAATTCATTAATATTCTATGGAATGATACTCGTTCCACAGGGCAAATTTGGGTAGCATATGTCAAACCGCATCACACAGTATGCAGGGTGTATGTCATCATGCACAAAGATCTCCTTATATGTGAGGAACTGCAGTGGCATGGAGAATTTCCTAAGAAATGATAAGCGGAGCACTACTAGATGAATTTTAACCCACAGAAACTGATCAAATTGTTAGTGTTTGTTCATATGCGCATTGTTGAATCTTACTGTCATTTTCTGTTCAGACAGATTTGTAACCTATAGGTTTCTGTTTCATCTGTCTCATATGGCAAAGTTCAAATGCAAACTGAAACTAGTGAATATTGTGTAGGTAGGCTATCCAGCAGATGTACTACAATCAACTGTCACAAAGTTTTGTTGTGAAATCAAAATGAAACCACAAAATTCTCCAGAAATGTGTCCCTGTCCAGAGATAGTAAAAAGTTTCATTTTGAGTTTTACTGTAAAGTTCAAGGCTGTAAACCAAGTATGAATGAAACACAGCTTTTATTTCTGTTTTTAACCCAAATTATCAGAATTTCACATGGCTTTGAAATGGAAGATTTACATAGCACAGAATATAACACCAAATATAATTACAATTTTTGGCAGGTCTCTCCTCAGCCCTACAAGACTTTGAGAAAATGAATTGGGAAAATAAGGTGAAGCAGATTGTAAATCCACAATGGCTGAGGAGAATATGTTTGACTTACCTCAACCCCAGTACTGAAAGAGTGTTTAGATACAAAGTGTTAGGCAATTGGGATGAAATTTGCCCCTGTACGGAGGGCCAGCAAATAGCCTAACAACCATTTATGTGTCACTTGAGTCCTCAAAATGGGACCTAGATGGTGGATAGGCATTGTGCTGGCCTTCTGCATAAGGGTGAATTTCACCTCATGAGACCATAGATAGGTAGATATCCAGGGTGTTATAATAGCACCTCCCACCCTGGTATCTGAGATGATAGGTAGGCAGTTAGGTAGACAGCATAGGTAAAAGCTGTGAGACAAAGCATCCTACGAATATATTGAACTGCTCACCTGCTAAGTATATAATGATTCCAGCTCATGGCTCCCACCACAGACAGGTGACCAAACATGTTTCTCAACCTCTTTTTGGTTTCAATGTCCCATAACTGACAAAACAAAACACAAAATACAATTCTAAAATCAAGTAAAAAAAGATTTTTTTTACTGCCACACCTCTTCCACCATTCAGTTTTAATTTGACATGATGCTGATGGTCAAGAGCTCAATCCTGAAAACCATTATTCACGCAAAGACTTCAGTTTTGAAATTTATATGCATCCGAAGAAGTGGGTTGTAGCCCACGAAAGCTTATGCTCTAATAAATTTGTTAGTCTCTAAGGTGCCACAAGTACTCCTGTTCTTTTTGCGGATACAGACTAACACGGCTGCTACTCTGAAACTTCAGTTTTGGGCTCTCTGGCCAACACTTCCACACTTGGGTTCCTAAATCAATACACCCAAAGTAGTGCAGCTACTCACCACCTCTGAAAATACAGCCATTAATTTAGGTGCCTCTATCTAGAAATCCACATTTGAAAATGTTGTCTTAGGTGCTCTTTCGATTACTGATTTCCATGCCCGGAGGGCTGGCTCCCCTGGCTTATCCCCTTTATCTGACAGTCTCAGCCAGGTGTCCCCCAAGATCTCTGGATAATTGGAGTGTACTGTACTAAGAGTTCTATACATATAGGGACAGCAGAATACTGAGGGCAAGATCTGCTCGGTGAACCCGATAGGAGAATTTTGCCCTGGATTCTAATCGCAAAAGTGATCACAGCAGACATCATGTGGCAATCTATTAGAAAGTCATGGTAAAAAAATTATGCCTCCTGGAGAAAATAATTGTGTGCAGAGGTTCCAACTCATGGTTGCAAAATCTCATGAGGCCCCTGTGACTGAATCATTTACCCAGCTACTAGTTCTTACGTGGCTCTCGGAGCTCCATTACCTTTAGGTAATGGTGGGTAATACCAAGGCATTTAGTGAGGTGCAGCACTGCTTAAGGAGATGCTATAAATCTCTCTCCAACAGAGATTTTCTGAATTTTATATAGTTTACTACTCATAACTGTTTTTATTAATAAAAAGAATCTATGTGATGTGAATTGTCTTGTGGCCACTTTATCTAAAAAGAAAAAAGGATCTGAAAATAAAGTATCCAGTACTTGCACTTCTCCATCACTGGTGCCAACTGCAAGGTAAGTTCCCTCTTTTATCCAGGCTACAGAAGAAATATATTTTAAATTGGAATTTAAATTAACTGTTTCAGTGCTTCGGTGGGTTTCCCCATTCCAAATGTGTGCAGCAGATCCTAGAGCAACGGCAATGAGATTTTCCTGGTTCCAGTCCAGTATGTTTAGATCTAGAAGAAAATTAGTTAAAATTACTAATAAGCATGTAAGGGGATAGTTTTTAATTATGCAGCTTTGTCAGATTATTAGTCAATTGGGACACTAAAGAGAAAGAACCAAATGAATCAAGTTACTCTAATAGTGCCAGGATCCTTCCCATGTCCACCTTTGTGAATGAGTATAAGATGTTATTTCCCCAGATTCATAGTTAGTACACCAAACATGATTCCACTTAAGCCTTTGTTTGCAGGCTATTATTAAATATATATATATATATATATATTACAGTAGTATCCAAAGGCCCCAATGTGCTGGGCACTGTACAATCACAGAAAGAAAAAATCCCTACCTGAAAGGATTATAATCCTTCCTCTATTTTATAGGCATCAGGGCTAATCCTGAAGTTTACCCTGTACTATAAAAACAAGCAAAAAAGAATCAGACAAAGAGCTGCATCCTCGGCTGCAGAGCTCGGGTCAGGAGTGGGCAGGCAAAGATGGCTCCAGGCAATATTTCCACGTCCTCTGATGCTGTGATGGTCAGGAGCTGCTCTAATTTGCGCTGACTTGTACACTGGCAAGTCAGATCACTACATATCTTGGCCAGACCTCCAAAACATTACCTATACCAGGAAGGGTTAATGTAGCATTGGCTACACTCTAGGTCTGATGTTATACTCTATAGCTGGATACACCAACCAAGGATTCCCTCCACTTACTGGGGAATTCTCAGCTGCCTGTTTAGCACAACTCTAAGGTCATTTTGCATCGCTCCAGCAGCATGGAGTGACCATATTGTAGGGCAGGATCTTGCTTAATATTTCCATAACAAAGCTGTTACCCTTTAGAATTATTAAATCTGTCATTCCTTTACTTTGCCTATAAACCAAATTGCTGCTGTCGAAAATAAATATAAACCAACACTAATAAGGAATCATTTGCAGGAACAGAGCTGTGCTTATGCTGTCACCCTCAGAGAGCATGCAGCTTGAGTGAAATAGGTGTAAATAACCAGGGTAGAATCCCAAACTCAACTTATGCATCAGCAAAATTGTGCACATTCACAGGTATAAGTAAACTAGTCTAATACACACATGCAAATGTTTTCATGTTCATCCACAAAAAACCACAGTGACAAGATAGTTTTGCAAGTGCAAGTTCTAACATTTGCATGTTCATGATTGCTAGAATTTTTAAAGTGATTGCCCAGGTATTTGCAGTTGCAGAGTGCAAGCATATGTACATTCCTGTGTAATTTTGCATGTGCACTACTGAAGATCGGCTGAAGGCCTGGGAGAAATTTTGCCCCAAAATGTACATATCATATGAACAACAAACTACCTCTGTTAAATCTCAGAATACAACCAGATTTCAAGTTTTGCCCAATAGAAGGATTGGCCCATAGGTAAATTGCTATGAGCCCAGGAATAACACCTTTTCTGCACTTGACTTTATTAAGTGAGGATAATGATACTTATCCCCTTTGTAAATGCTTTGAGATTTACAGATGAAAAGCAGTATATAAGAACTAGGTATTATTATAAAAAGCAACAGAGGGTCCTGTGGCACCTTTAAGACTAACAGAAGTATTGGGAGCATAAGCTTTCGTGGGTAAGAACCTCACTTCTTCAGATGCAAGTATTATAATTACTACGACTAGAGAAGTATTACCCACGGAGACTATAATTCCCAGCATGCAGTCTGCTCCATTTTCATCCAAGCAGCCTGGAATTACATATTAGAACCTATAGTTTTCACAGGCTGCACTCCTGTAAGAAAAATTAGATTAGCCATAGGCCTCATTGTAGAACTCCATGGGCCACATTTGGTGTAAGGGCCACACTTCAGCTACCCATCTTAAGACATAAGATACAAAAGTTCCCACTCTCTGCTACAAATTCAAGCTCCCAAATAATGAAAGAGAATAAAAACTTACAGTAATCATTGCGTAAGCCACTAATATGAAGCCTGACCTCTGGCTCCAATGGTATGAAAGATTCGGTATTAGTGGAAACTCTGTGAGCAGTAAATTCATTATGCATTCCATTCTGGCAGCCTGCGTGTAAAGATTCAAAGTATGTGATTCACTCATAAAAAATGCCACTAGTTTTCCTCAGACAATAACTGTTTTATTCGTGTATCCTATAAGGCCAGAGGCAACCCAGGCATAAATTACAGCACCCTGAGGGTGCTCTAATTTACAGTGGGGGCTGGCCACACACCCAGCAGACCCAAAATATTAGATATAAATATGAAGTGTAGATTAAAGCCTCTACCCTATTCATCCCCTCATGAAGTGTACCTGAGCCAGAATACAGCATCAGTCCCATTATATTCCATTTCAATTATATCAAAGGCCAGTGTGGAACAAATTTAGTAGGGCTGTCAAGCGATTAAAAAAATTAATCTTGATTAATCGCACTGTTAAACAATAATAGAATACCATTTATTTAAATATTTTTGGATGTTTTCTACATTTTCAAATATATTGATTTCAATTACAAAACAGAATACAAAGTGTACAGTGCTCATTTTATATTCATTTTTGATTACAAGTATTTGCACTGTAAAAAAAAAAGAAATAGTATTTTTCAATTCACCTCATACAAGTACTGTAGTGCAATCTCTTTGTCATGAAAGTTGAACTTACAAATGTAGAATTGGGAACAAAAAAACAACTGCATTCAAAAATAAAACAATGTAAAACTGTAGAGCCTTCAAGTCCACTCAGTCCTACTTCTTGTTCAGCCAATCACTCAGACAAACAAGTTTGTTTACATTTGCAGGAGATAATGCTGCCCACTTCTTGTTTACAATGTCACCTGAAAGTGAGAACAGGCGTTCACATGGCACTGTTTTAGCAAGCATCGCAAGATATTTATGTGCCAGATGCGCTAAAGATTCATATGTCCCTTCATGCTTCAACCACCATTCCAGGGACATGCGTCCATGCTGATGACGGGTTCTGCTCGATAACAATCCAAAGCAGTGTGGACCAACACATGTTCATTTTCATCCTCTGAGTCAGATGCCACCAGCAGAAGGTTGATTTTCTTTCTTGGTGGTTCGGGTTCTGTAGTTTCCACATCTGATTATTGCTCTTTTAAGACTTCTGAAAGCATGTTCCACACCCCGTCCCGCTCAGATTTTGGAAGGCACTTCAGATTCTTAAACCTTGAATCAAGTGCTGTAGCTATCTTTAGAAATCTCACCTTCTTTGCGTTTTGTCAAATCTGCAGTGACAGTGTTCTTAAAATGAACAACATGTGCTGGGTCATCATCCGAGACTGCTATAACATGAAATATATGGCAGAATGTGGGTAAAACAGAGCGGGGGACATACAATTCTTCCCCAAAGGAGTTCAGTCACAAAGTTAATTAACGTATTATTTTTTTAACAAGTGTCATCCGCATGGAAGCATATCCTCTGGAATGGTGGCTGAAGCATGAAGAGGCATACAAATGTTTACCATATCTGGCACATAAATACATTGCACTGCCAGCTACAAAAGTGCCATTCAAATGCCTGTTCTCACTTTCTGGTGACATTGTTACTAAGAAGAGGGCAGCATTATCTCCTGTAAATGTAAACAAACTTATTTGTCTTAGCGATTGGCTGAATGAGAAGTAGGACTGAGTGGACTTGTAGGCTCTGAAGTTTTACATTGTTTTGTTTTTGAATGCAGATATGTAACAAAAAAAATCTACATTTGTAAATTGCACTTTCATGACAAAGAGATTGCACTCCAGTACTAGTATGAGGTGAACTGGAAACTACTATTTCTTTTATTTATCATTTTTACAGTGCAAATATTTATACTTTATACAATATATACTTTGATTTAAGTTACAACACAGAATACAATATATATGAAAATGTAGAAAAACATCCAAAATATTAAATAAATTTCAATTGTTTAACAGTGCAATTAAAATTGCGATTAATTTTTTTAATCATGAATAATTTTTAATCGCATGAGTTAACTGTGATTAATCAACAACCCTAAAATTTAGCTTTGCCTTTTTCTCCTGCTTTCATTCTCTGTTAAAAGGCCTTTAACTTTCGAAGGCTTCTTAGATGCTCGGTCACCACAAAATCCCCAAATGAAGCAGTTAATTCATTCTCTAAATAAATGCTGCTATTTGGTTTTAAGTTCCCATCAAAAGAGTCCCCCCGAATGCAAAACCACAGGAAAAGACTTTTCACATCAGGCCCGCCTTTGATGTCTTTGATCACTCCATTTTAGGTATGTGATGAGGAAGAAGTGAGAAACAGAAAAAAAAACAGCAGTAAAACACAAGTATGAGCAAGCAGAACAGTCAGCCTTGTGGTCACTGTCTGCTTTCTGATGCAAAGACCCCACGTCCTGCAGAAAAGAGCTAAGTAATTAGCAACAAGATTTTATTTCCTTGTTACGCTTCAGAAATTGTCTTGCAGCAGCATGACGGGCATCCGCATCTGTGCACCTTCCTTGTGTCATTTTGAAACCCCCCTTTACAAGCAATATTTTTGTCAAATTCTTTAGATAAAGATATTCAGAATGAATAGGGAATGCGCCAGGCATTCTGAGGAAACTGATTTACAAGGATAATTAATTTTCAGCTTTCAAATCGGTAAATGTTGACTTTATCAAGAACAAATCTATATTAGCACATGGCTCTGCAATCTATCACAAAGCTATAACCTCAGTGCATATACACACACACACACACACACACACATCACCTGTGAAAGTCATATCTGTCATAAGTTGCAGAGACATATGATAAATGAATTTAACACTCACCTTGGATTACCTAGATTCATAGATGTGAAGGTCAAAGGGGGCCATTAGGATAATCTAATCTGACCTCCTGCATAGTGCAGGCCACAGAACTCACCCAGTGATTGCTGCATCAAGCCCATAACTTTTGGCTGAGCTAGAGCAGATTTTCTAGAAAGTCATCCAGCCTTGTTTTAAAGTAATGGAGAATCCACCACATCCCTAGGTAAATTGTTCCAATGGCTAAATACCTTCACTGCCAAAATTCTTTTCACCCTTTACCTTTTTGTACTTCTCTCAACTTGGACATGGAAAACAGGGTAAATGGTTCATTTTTTCTTTCTAGCTGGTTTCACTTTCTAGCTCTCATGCATTAATTCTGTGTTTTGTGTAAATTCTTCAGAGCAGGGGCCATGTCTCTACTTGTTCTGTGGAGAATTTAGCATATTTTTGTGGTTTTGCAACCCAAACATTTCCTTGTTTTTTCAGTCACTTCAGGGCAAGATTTAAATCCAAACTGCCAGTTTTCCTTCCACGTTTATAGAGAGATTTCATGAAAACTTTTACTATGTAACCCCTTTGGGGTTTAGAGAGCATGGCCCTTTAAATCTTTCTCCTAAGGGGGAGGGGGAGAGTAAGAAAAAAGGAGGGAAACTCCAGGGGGCAGCACTGGAGCTCCAGGGAGAGGGAGAGGCAGCCTGCAGGCCCTGGAAAAGTGAAGCAGCAGAGAACCTGCCCCAGGCCTGAGACGGACCGGGCTGATTGGGGACACCCCAGGACAGGAGCCAGGAGGAGCACTGTGCCAGGGAGGAATTGCCCGAGAAGGACAGGCCGGAGCTGGACCCAGTATCACGGCTGCCCAGAGCTGCACGGGGCTGTGAGCACTGGGGCTTCTGACTCTGCATTGGGAACAAGGAGGGAGGTTGCTAGATAGTTAAGTGGGGAGCTGGTCGCTCTGTGTGGCTTTGCAGAGAGCGGTAGAAGAGGGCACCGGGGGGGGTTTGTTGGGGGAATGTTCACTGGCGCCGAAGACGACCAGGAGCACCCAAGACTCACCACTGGACTGGAGCTTTGCTCAGGGCTCCTGAACTCTGTATGCAGACACATTGCTCAGTGTCTGCCCTTCCAGACTGTGCTACCACTGGGCCTGTGGGGGCCTTGGCTTGAATGCAGCCCTGTTTTACTGCTCCCCCTATATTTCCCCTTGTTTTTCTCTTCTCATCCCTCTGTAAATAAATATTTCCCTTGTTATATCCACTGTACTTTTCCTGTGGGTGTGTGTGTTCACTCGGGGGGGGTTTGGAACAGGTGCCCCTGGGGTGGAAGGGATTTCTCCTGCTGCATTCCTGCGCACGCCTTCTCTTGGCCAGAGCTGCCTGCAGAGCAGACTCCATCTTGGCCACGGGGACGCTAAAGTTACACTTGGTGGCCCGTACGGGGACTTTGCAGTACACACACACACACCCCTATGTTGTGCACCCTGGGCTCTTCTTCACAGAGCAAAGAAACTCCTGAGTGACTTTCATCTCAGTTAAAAAAAAAATGGAGAGAGGATTATTAGAAGACCTGTGCCGAGGAGCACGAATCCCAGTAACCAAACCTGTGCTGGTGGCGGGGTTCCCAGAAGAGAACCAAATGAAATTGAGGAGAGCTTAGATGCAGCTGAAATACTGGGGAGAGCAAAGGTCCACACCCGTATTTACAACCGCAAAGTGAAGGGCATGGTAGCACTATGTACTCACTCCAAGGAAACAGATCTTGATAAAGTGCCCAAAGAGGTGCAAGTAGAAGGTATTCCCTGGACAATTCTGGGGGCAGAGCAGTCCCCTCCTAGTGTGCCTGTGTCACTTGAGGTGGATTCTTTAGCGCAGAAATTGCAAGCTCTGATGGTGGATGAGAAGCGGACAAGAGAAGAATTAATTTTGGCATTAGGAGGTGCTCCAACACCTGCAGCACCCAGCCTGATGGGATGGGCCAAAGAGCTGGGAAACGCTCTCAAAGATGCATTGAGGCCAGTATATGAAAATGCTCCATACAAACGGTTACATTCATTCTCGGGGGTGTCACCTGTACCCCCAGGGGAGGAGGATTACGAGACCTGGAGGGATTTTATGGTGCCACTTGTCCAAGAGTGGGAATGCTCTGATGCTGAGAAGCGGAAACGTGTGCTTGAGAGTCTGAGGGGACCTGCCATGCAAATTATCCGAGCCCTGAAAGACTCACAACCAGCTGCCACAGTGCAAGACTGTTTAACCACTCTTGAGAGTGTCTACGGTACTACTGATAGCAGTGAAGACCTGTATTATCATTTCCGCATACCTATCAGGAGCCCCACGAACGATTGTCGGATTTCATCAGGAGACTAGAGGATTTGCCTCAGCAGGTAGTGCGGAAGGAGGGCATCCCCACCAAGCGCATTGATTCCGCTAGGTTGGACCAAATCCTTCGGGGCACCCGACAAGATGGGTTGATGTTGTGGCGACTGCAGCTGAGGGAGCAGGCCCAAAACCCACCCCCATTCCAAAAGCTCATTCGAGAGATACGTGAAGAGGAGGAGCGATTGTTGCAAGTGGATGCAGTGGTGCAGCCGAAGATGGCAGGGAGTCGCACCACCACAGTGCTTGGAGAGATGGAAGATGCCCCGTCAGTGGCAGCAGCACTGAGAGATTTGACCCAAGAAGTGGCCATGATGAAGGCTCAGGGACATACTGTGCCATCCTCAAGAGGGGAGAGTAACAGGAGGGGTGATAGCCAGCGAGAAGGTTTCTGTTATAACTGTGGAAGAGATGGTCACTATGCCTTGGACTGCCAAAACAAGACAGATCATGCAAGGGTATCTCAGAGATTGCAGCAGACCACTAGGAAGCTTCAGGGAAACACCAACAGGGCTTGGGGAAGGAGCAACCCAAGACCCTGAAATTCCAAGGCTCCCCAGAAAAAAACACAAACAGGGGTTACAAATACATTTGATGAAAATTCCACAAAGCTGATTGTCGGGCTCAAATCACTTGACTCTAAGCCATTTTCACTGTATTTGTGTTTCTGAATACCCTTCAACATTTCCACTGGAATCTGTAAGTGAGGTGTGATTGTGGGAAATGCAGGGTTTGGAGCCATACTTGAGGATTCATCTTAAAGAGTTTTCTTTGTTTCTTCTTTCTTACATATGAAGTTAAGACTAAGCCAGTGCTCCTGCAAGGAGCTCTGTGCAGAACACCAGTGGGGCCCATCTGGGCAGAGCTCATTGCAGGATTAGGTTGTAAATTTCCCCAGTTTAGATGCAGCGTATGTGGGTTTCAAGAATTAATAGCCCTAGACTTTTAACAGATAATTTCCTAATCAATGAGAGCTTGATGCTGCTTAGGACGAATCTGCTTTTTCATAAACAACTCTGTTCATGATGCCCTGCTTTACCTCATATTCTTCTCCCCAAGATTTATCCTAGTGTAAGCAGAGTCAGGATGAGCTCTACCCTGACATCTGGTAGTGAATTATGGCGAGTGTGGAAAAGAACTCCAGGGGCTGATCTTGTTTGCATAGGCACACCCACCCTCCTGGCATGAGACTACAGCAACTGAAAGTGGTTACTTTGGATGGGGTGGGATCCCCAGTTTCTCTGTTATTGGGGCAGGAGGAATAAAGTGTTGTTACCCTGATTATGTGAATCAAGGACAATGAAACTGTTTTATGACAGAGGGTCTCACCATCACCTAAGTAGCACTCGCTAGACAAGGGACATGGGTTCCAAAACCCAGTGAATTGAGAGAAGATGGGGACAGGTATTTGTACCTGATAGTATGGGGCCCCTTTGAGGGACTAAAACACCAATTGCACCATCTCGTCTCTCCACTGTTGAATAGCAGAGCTAATTTTGATTCTATTGAGAGTATATTTACAGGCTGCTATGCGGAATTCACTTTGGGCCAATGGTGCACCAGCACTGGGACTCCCTTACTACAAGCTGAAATCACTAAAGAGCTAAAGTTACTAAGAGCTGAGATCACTGAGTGCTGTGTTAACCAGTGGGGGAGCCTGAAGCTATATTGCTAAGCGGCTGGCGGAGCAGTTTGTGGCCCACGGAACGGCGAGTGGACCAGTTTGCGGCCCATGGAACAGCGAGTGGAGCAGTTTGCGGGACGGATGGTGGAGTGGTGCAGTTTGTGGGACGGTTGGAGCAGCCCACGGAACGGCAAGCGGAGCGGAGCGGAGCGAAGCTGAGCAGTTTGCGGGGCGGCTGGAGGAGCAGAGTGGAGTGGAGCGGAGTGGCTGGTAGAGCGGAGCAGTTCGTGGGGCGGCAGGAGTGGCTCACGAAACAGCTGGTGGAGTGGAGCGGCTCGTGGTGAAGGCTGCAGCAGAACCCCACGGAGAGGCGGGCAGTCAGCCTCGGGCCACGTAAGGTGCCCCTTAACACCCTGCGTGTCCCCTTTTCTCCCCCCCTTTTCCACCCAGGCTGGGGGGATAAAACCCTGCAGATAAACTTTTGAACTCTGGGGCTGCACTGACCAGGGGCAGAGACTTTTGGGTTGTTGGACTTTTGGGACTTTGGGTTGCTGGACTTTTGGGATTCTTGGGTTGCTGGACTCAAGAAACTTTTGGGGTATTGGACTTTGGGGACTCTGGGTGATTTTGGGGTTGCTGGATTCAAGAACCAAAGGGAAAGGACACGGCCCAATTTGCTGGGATGGTTTGTGTTATGAATCCTGTTTGCTCATGGTTTGTGTTATGAATCCTGTTTGTGGTGTTTTTCCAATTTAATGCTGATGTCGTTTACCTCGTGTTATTAAACATTTTCTGTTATACTCAGACTCCGTGCTTGCGAGAGGGGAAGTATTGCCTCTTAGAGGCGCCCAGGGGGTGGTATGTAATTGTCCCAGGTCACTGGGTGAGGGCTTGAGCCGGTTTTGCATTGCGTTATTGAAACGGAACCCCTAGATACAGAACCCGGCCCTTGTTGCTGCCAACTCAGATGGGCAGAAGGGTTACACTAGCATTCCAACATCACTGAGCAGGTTCAAACAGATGCCATTAAAATAAAAAAATCAAACTGCCAGACAAACATTTTCTCCTCTCTCAAATATGGAATTTGCTCCCAGAAGGTGACATTTGTCTTAGACTGAAGATGAGCAAGAGTCAGCCCTGGGTCAGTGACAACTTGTTCAATGCATAAACTTGTTGGGACTTTGAAGTCTGATACCCTGCAGTCCTGCAAAAAATCACTGGATAAGGGAAATTCCCTTGTGCCTGGGGTTGGGGGGCAGCACTCACTTCTAACCCTGGACAGGCCCAAAATAACTGACTATAAAGGTGTGACATACATGGGTACAGAAAAGTTATTTTAGGTTATTTTTAGGGACCTGTATGACTCTCTCTCAGCCCAGTACAGTTGAACTAGTAACAATTAAGACACCTGGTTTTACAGAGGGAGGAATATAATAAAAAAGTCACAATAAAAATTGAAAAGCTCTTTAAAGCATTCCTAAACTAGTTCTTCCATAGCATATAAAGAGTATGGTATGGCACAGTCTATTATAAAGGCTGGGATGATCAGCATAATGCACTTGTGGTTTCTCCTCTCATGATTAATGTACCCACCCAAAGTGCATGCTGATAAAACCACAGCATTCTAATATATTCCATGTGTGAGTTTTTTACATCATGGAGCTGCCTGAAGCCTCATTGCACCCCTTTGTGTTATTTTACAGATGAATTAACAGACTAACATTGACTTGCAGTGAGACTTAGGCTTCTAAATCATTTTTAAAATGGGATTTAAGCCATCTCAATCACTTCTGCCCAGTAGGAGTTAGGTGCTAATCTAGGGGGATTAGCATCTGTGTTTTAGGCTTTGCAAAGATGAGCAGAGCAACTCCTAAATACCTTTAAAAACTGGGCCCAAGTGCCTATGCCACTTCTGGAAATGGGATGTAGACACCTTTGAAAATTTTACCCTAAGTGACTTACTCAAGATGACATAGCAAGCGTGTGACAGGAATAAAACCCGGTATTCCTGACACTTAGTCCCCTGTTCCACCACTAGATAACACCATTATTAACCACCCAGGGCCTGAATTGTTCTCATACCATTTACTTCATTGGAGTTACTCCTTATTTACACCAGAGTAACTGAGACCAGAATCAGGTTCTCAGGGGCAGATTCTCAGAGGCACACGTAGCTGCTAGGCACCTACCTCACATTGACTTTCCATGGGAACTGGGCACTTAGCTGCCATTTATGCCTTTAAAAATCTCTCCCCAGTCACCATTGGGCCTAATGCCTAAAGATTTTGGCCACAGACACACAACAGAAGAAAGCTCAGGGTAGCACCCTGAGAAGGATGAGCCTCTGACTCTCCTACCTCCCTCTACAATTTGATCCCGCAAGCTAAATATTCACATGCGGCTGCCTAAATTGTGGATTCAAAACTATACATACGTAGGTTGGGAGCTCACACACCTATATTTTTGCAGGCACATGAAGTTATTGCAGACATAAGTAGTCATTTATGTGGGCAACTACCAAAGTTCCGTAATGACATGTAAAACTCTAGTGGGGCAGGGTTTCTTGTTCTTTTCCTTCAGTCACAACATATGTGATCAGTTTTAAAAATTTCTCTCAGACAGTCAGAATAACAAGGAGGATTACCAAAATCTGGGGGCAAGCAATTGCCCATTGCTGTCTACCTAAATGGTACCCTCCATCCCACATATTCCAGCTTCCATATTGAGGGCCCCTGAAACAAAAATCAGATATTTGAGACTTTCGCTAGTTAAAATTAGTGAAGCAGAAACCACAGAGAGGAGGAAATCTTTCTATCCAGCTAGTCTAAAAGAACTCTTGAGAGATATTTCTGTTGCTTTGACTCATAATTAAAGTCAGTAGCAATGGAGCATTCAGCTGATCGGCATGGGTATTAGTATCTGTGCAGTTCGGTACTAAGGGCCGGATCTAAAGCCCATTGAAGTCAATGGAAAGACTCCCGTTGATTACAAGGGTTTGGATCAGGACCTAACTGCTGAGAATTTGAGGTGCATAGAAATACTATACCATCAAAACAAATTAACATATTTCAAAAACAGTAGATAAAACAAGACTCATATGATAATCAAAGAATCCTCTTGGTGCCCAAGTAACATCCTATATTGTCCTTATTGCCAAGATATATTACTAGCATTCACTGTCCCAGTATCATACCTTTCCAAATACACTCAGTGTTTCCACAGATCTTTATACTGTCATTTTCTGGGATGTCGAATCCACCCTCTTGGAACATTAACCGCTGAGTAAGACATTTCTACAAATATATTCAAATGAAAACATTATTGAGGAGGAATTTAGAAGTATTATGCATGACATCATTATGTGCACTTCCATAGCCCCTTCCATGTAAGGCAGAGATCTCAACCTTTTTCTTTCTGAGCGCCCCCCTCCCCCCCAACATGCAATAAAAACTCCACAGTCCACCTGTGCCACAGTAACTGATTTTCTGCATATAAAAGCCAGGGCCGGTGTTATGGGGTAGAAAGCAGGGCAATTGCCTGGGGCCCAATGCCACAGGGGCCCCCACAAAGCTACATTGTTCAGACTTCAGCTTCAGCCCCAGGTGGCAGGGCTCAGGAACTTGGGCTTCAGCCCCATGTGGTGGGGCTTTGGCTTTCTGCCCTGGGCCCCAGCAAGTCTAATGCTGGCCCTGCTTGGAGGCCTCCCTGAAACCTGCTTGAGGCCCCCTAGGGGGCCCCGGACCCATGGTTGAGAACCACTGATCTAAGGGACTCAACACACTTTACAAACACTCAGGAATTAACCTTTACAATATCCCTGTATTATCATCCCCATTTTACAGATGAGGGAACTGAGGTTCAAAGAGGTTGAGTTACTTGGCTACTGTCAGGCAGTGGGTCTATATCAAAGCAATGCGTAGAATATCAATCTCTAATCTCCAAACCATGTGCCTTAATCTCAACACCATCCTCCCTCCACAGAACATCTACTTACCACCCAAAAGTTCAGATGCTTATCCAAACCTTGTCAAAACTATCTGAATCTCCTGGTGCTGAAAATCAGGGCTGCTAATCTTATGGAAATAGGGTCTTTAATGAGATTTCTGATACGCCCTGTGTTGGGTCTCAGATATAACCAGAAAATGCTAAACATATGATAATGGAAAGTAAGGGGGGAAAGCGAACTGTTATTGGAACTTTTTAAGTCTTCAGAAAAGACCTTTTTAGGATTATGGTCAAGATTTGGTCAAAGGCTCGAGTCAGTTTTTATTTGATCCTAACCTCTTCACCTATCCCTAACAACAACACATTTCTTCTTAATATGTGATGGTAACGAGGCCAAAACGTTTATTCATATTGCGTTGAATAGTATTATGACAGCTTCTCTGGGCTTTTTATGAGGTCAAAGAAATGTCAGTTTGGTCTGTAATATTTTTTTTTCAGACAGGTGGAAATATAGTTGATGCTTTCACCAACCACTCTTGATTAATAGCATGTTAGTTAAACAATGTTTATGAAATCCAATCTCTCCAAATGGACCAAATGTTACTCTTCTTCTAAATCCTATTTTAATAATTACAAGAAATGTCTCACAAACACATCACTGGGAAAATAATATTTCTTCTTTGCATGTCCCAGAGGCTGTTCTAAACCATGCCCTCTTTCAGAGGCATTTTATTAATGATTTATACAGACAACTTGGCAAAAAGCTAATCAGATTACTTGGATTTGAATGTCTCTGAAACTGGTGCAGACATTTATATGGAAAACATACTATATACATGGGGAAATAGTCTTTTGGACCATAAAAGGACCACACATTCACTGGAATGTCTAGGAGACTTTCATTCTTGATCTGCACCACCCCCTTATGCTACCAGGCAGAATGAGCACTATTTATCACATTAAATGGTCATTCATTACTAGGGCTCCGTTTCTGTCATGGAGGTTGCAGAAGTCACAGATTCAGTGACTTTCTGCGACCTCCGGGACTTCTGCAGCATCCAGTGTGGCTGACCACAGGGCCACTCAAGCAGCCGGCTCCGGGGCCAGCTGCTCAGATGGCCCCCAGGACAACCTCAGCAGCCACTGCTGGAGTAGCCTGGGGGACAGCCACAGCAGCCGCTGCTCCGGCAGTCCCCAGGCAGCAGTCCCTGGCTGGCCGGAGCAGTCCACTGGCCTGGGCAGCTGGTACCGCTGGCCCTGAGCGCCTCCCCCCCACTAGCACCCTCCCAGCCATCCCCCAAGCAGCGGCCCCAGTGCTCCCCCCCAAGATAGCACACCACCGAAGGTAGCCTGACTGCCGCCCTCACGGCGACCGGCAGGTGCCTGGAGCCGCCCCTGATGAAGAGCATGATGCTTACCCACCTTTGTAAAGTGTTTTGAGATCTAAGGATGAAAAGTGCTATACAAGTAGTATTATTATATCATAAAAAGGTACCTGCAACAGTTGAGGATACCAATCAGCAGCTTGTCAGGTCAGTTATCCATTACTCACCCAGTCACTTATATGGTAAGACTGACACACTATACATGTTATAATTAAACATTTATGTTTAAATAATGTTAATGATGTGACACAAACCAATAGGAGCAAAGACATTCAGAGTTAACAACTGTGCTCTGTCCTTAAAGTGTGATTATGGTCACAAAAAAGACTGCGAAAATGGCACATCATTATTCTTTATATGTATTATTTATTAAGGTGGACACAACCCTGGAACACTTTCTGGTAGCCCAGTGCCAAACCGTGGGTACGTACCTGCGTCAGTTTCCCTTAATGGACTTTAGTGAGTTCAACAAAGCTTTTATGTAGTGAACAGTGCCCCTTCAGGTGTCTAATTTATTTAACCAAAGGTCAAGCAGACACACAAGCAAGTCTTTGCCCCAAACATTCTAGCCAGTGGGCTAAGTTAGTCTTAATCTACCTGTGCCCACCTGGGTCCATCAATCTCCTCCAGCAAGTCTCCTTACCAGTTTGGTCCTCTTGACCCAGGACCCACTCTGGAGTCAGGCCTCTTGCCATGACCTGGGAGAAGGGTTCCTTCTCTGGGCTCAGGGTCACCCCAGCGATCAAGCTACTGCAACTCTTTTCCAGAGCAGAGTATAGTTCCTCTGCACTCTGGACCTCCTGCTGCTGTCCTTGCTCCAGGACAAGATCTTCCTAGGGCTTGATGCTTGTAGTGCTTCCCTTTTTGAATGTCTTCCTCCTAGGAGCACCTTCACTAGGTCTCAGGTTACCACCCCTCCAGGTTTCCCCAGGATTGTTCCTTTTTTTTGAGGTAGATGTCCTGGGAAATCTGTAAGGGTGCTCAGTATATGCAGTGAGCTGTCCAGTTTTATAGTCTCCGTTTTTTGTTCCTCAGAGGCGGCAACCCTAATTAGTATCAGAGGGGTAGCCGTGTTAGTCTGGATCTGTAAAAAGCAACAGAGAGTCCTGTGGCACCTTTAAGACTAACAGATGTATTGGAGCATAAGCTTTCGTGGGTGAATGCCCACTTCGTCGGATGCATGCATTCACCCACGAAAGCTTATGCTCCAATACATCTGTTAGTCTTAAAGGTGCCACAGGACTCTCTGTTGCTTTTAACCCTACTTAGGTCTCCCTTCCTGGTGAACTCTCTAACCAGCTCCCCTGAGAAGTCCCTTTCCTCAGGAGCGTCTTGTATTCCAGGACCTCCTCACTGAGCCCTCATGACCCTAATTAGACCCAGGTGTTCCTTAACTAATTACCTGCCACCCTAGGCAATTAATTACTCACTGGTGGATCTGCATTGGCTCATTCTCCTTAGCAGAGCCTGTCACAGGTAGGCTGGGTTCCTGACCTCTTCAGGGCCAGTTACCCTGTGACAATATTGAGCATGTGAATGGTGCTGTACAAGCCAAAGGGAGAAGCAGTTGCTTCAGCCCCTAGCTAAACACCCTTGACTCTTTAGCTCATGCTTTTAGCTCTGGAGATCCCCGGTTCAAACCCCGGTGTATCAGCAAAAATGGCAGCCATCACACCGTCACTGACCCAAACAGCTTACAGACTGAGCAAATGACCAACATAAGATTGTACTGAGAGTCCAAGCAGATAGCACTAAGATAGAAGAGAGGGAGAAAGTGTAGTTTGTGTTTAATGATGTCATAATTTTTACTGACATGGATCAGCACTATGTTCTTCATGGGAGAAGTGAGTTTTCAATAAAATTTTGAATGAAGATATTACCTCACCATCCTTGTCTCTCTACAGTCTGGAGAAGCGGAGACACATGAATGTAAGTTAACCACAAGTGACAGAGCAATTTTTAATTACACTTATCTAGAAGGCTGCTCTGGAGCCCGCTGTTCTTGTCAGTATTTTACATGTTAGAAAGGTAGAAAATAAGCAGGAGATTCTGGGAAGAGGACAAGGTAACAAAATATACTAACAATGCAAATATCAGAAAAGGGTTTAATATAAATCCTGTCAGCACATATGCAGTGTTACATTACTCACCCTCTTCTTTGCAATTTCAGCTCTCCTTTTATTTCTTCCTTGTAAGTAAGTTGTCTCATGACACCTCGCTGTGGCATTAGTAATGATATAAGGTTCGTTGGTAGAATTTTTGATAGGCACCTGAAAGGATACTGCAAAAAAGGTTTTAATTGATACATTTCCTTTAAAAAATACTAGTACGTTTGCCCAATGCTTGCATTGTTCCTTTCCATTATAGAGCAGATTCTTTGGTAACACTAATCCTGAGGGTTGGCCTGATGCTTTGTCAGTAGAACAATGCACTATCACACAGAGAATCCAAATGTTATGCCGATAGCTTGATCCCAAGCTTCATGGCTGACAGGAGCAGGGCACTGCACTCAGCCCCAGAGGAAATGTCTCCTAGGAATGTTGGCAAGGATTCCATGGCTACACACGACTTCACCACTACCATCAGAAATGGAATGCAGGGATTTCTGCATCATAAAGACAAGCTCCTACCATTAAAGCTAAAGGAGGGAGAACTCCTTTTGTTTAAGGGCTTATACTTTCTTTGTGAGCCAGAGACTAGAGAGTTAGGATCACACTCTTGAGCAACTGTCACATTCCATTCAACAGAGGAAACTGGCACACATTGCAAGTGGCCCTAACAGTCTTTGGCTGGTAGGAACAGGGTGACAACCCACTCTCTATTTTTAGGAGCAACCTTTATTAGGTGTCTAATGATTTGCATCCTGAATCAGGTAAATATGGATCTCACTTTGTCCCATAACTCAGCCAACTGTGTGCATGCAATGAGTGAACGACTTCCCCATCTGTCCTCGATATTGCTGCATATGGGAACCAAATCTCAGGCACCCCAGAAGAGGCAAGGAAACTGTGCCCCCTTTTCATGGTTGTTATTTCAGTGAGCCAGCACTGAGCTCACCTGACCCACACAGCCTCAGGTTCTCAGTTAAAGCTACCATAGGTCCAGCCAGTTCACTGCCTGCTCCCTCATAACTCCTCTCTGCCAACACACACAAGGACAAACACAAGCCTGGGTCTCCTCCCAAGTCCCTCTACACACCACACAACCTCGGGCTGCCAGAGTTGGGCCAAGCCAGGCCAGGAAATGATCTGACAGATGTCTGAACCTGCAACTTGTATTGAGGGAGTATCATCTCCTCCACCAAGAAATCAGGAGCATCCCAGGCAATCTCAGCTGGTGTGAAATCACCTAAGGTACTGTTACAAACCAGTGCATCTTAGAGCACTCAGCCCCCATCTCCCCCCAGGACCAGGGGCCCAAAGTGGTCCTACACTGAAAACAGCTTGTCTGGACACAAGGATCTGGCTCTTTTTTTCCCTTTGCCTTCCCTGATGTCACCTCTCCCTGCATTACCAGCATGACATGCCTTATCTATGCTAGGTTGTACATTCCACAGGATGGGGTCATGGGCCCGATTCTCCTTTTACACCAGTTTAAGAGTAGTGTAATTCCACTGTGCTTTTATTCTCCCTCTAAAGCTCCTGCACACCTATGCTGCTATATACAAATGATAATACTTTGCATTTTGCGGTGATGCTGGGAGTACTTTTCCCAGACCTGAAAAAGCTCTGTGTGGCTCGAAAGCTTGTCTCTCTCACAACACAAGTTGGTCCAATAGAAGATATTACCTTGCTCACCGTGTCTTTCTAATAACAATACTTATCCACTAGGAACTGGACTGACATCAACACACACATCTCAGGTGGGACACTGAACCTACCACTTTTGGTCACTACCAGCTTGGGCTGGATGCAGATTAACAGGGGGCTTTAGAGGCCCTTGTGAATCTTGAGAGTGATCCAGTTTCCATGCTGTTCTTCTACCTGCAGACTGACCTGGGATTGTTGAGATCTTCTCAGGAGTCCTTACTAGCTCAGATCCATCAGCTGGAAAGAGATTAATAGGCTGACACTCTGTGAAAGTTTGCTCGGCACGATTTCTTGCGTGTGTCTGCTGCCATCTTGTGACGATAGGGCTACTAGCAACAGGGACACTGCACGTCAGTTTCTTCACAATGCAACTTTTAAATCTTGAATAGGTGGGCTTTCCTGAATCGGGCATCTATTTAAAAGAGTAGAGAATTTAGCTGTAATAATTATATGATAGGAAGGTTAAATGGTTATTAAACCCATGGATTGTCAAACAATCCAAATGACTGACACAAGATCTTGTAACTTAATATAGTGTTGGCACTTATATTACTTTATATCTTAGAAAAGGCTTTTCACTGTTAATGCATATGGGCAATCCTGCCTCCCAGCATGTAGCCCATGTAACTGCAGGTTGTGCAGGGGATATCTCTGGGAGCTGCCTGGAAGGAAGTTTTCTCCCCAAGACCTGCAAATCTGCAGAGTAGCAGCACAGCTGTTCTGTGAACACAGCTGCAGCCTCTGCAGTGCCTGTGCCTCTGCTCTATGAAGAGAAATTGCTAGTGGATCCAGGTGGCCACAAATCCAAGTGTTCTGTCCCTGCTCCTCCCTCAACCTCTCTCAGAACTCCCATGGTTATTGGCATGTGGGTGCACATCAACAGGGCTGCCGAGAGTAGGTTCGGGCCCCGGTGAAAAAAAAAATTCGGGCCCCCCAGCAAGGGCAGATCAGCTAAACAGGGCCGACAAGGAGGGGGGAGCCAGGGAAGCCGGGCCCCGGGCCCCTTTCCGGACCGCCGGGCTCCGGTAATTTGTACCGGCTTCCCCTCCACCTCGTCGGCCCTGCACATCAGTGCCACTGCTAACAAGGTCCTCCAGATCCACGTTAAAGGAGCAAGATTTTCCCCAAAGGACAATACAGCACCACTGTATACAATTCCAAAGCCATCAGAATATAAAGCATACTACTGACATCCAGATCAGGAGAAAAACATTGGGTGTGCAACGCTAAGAGAGACCAAAGAGGTAAGTACAACTAATAAAGCAATAATGGGTCATTTCAATTTCTCGCATATAAACTGGTCACTTCAGGACACAATTTCTTAACACTTTAAATGAATGGTTCATGGATCTGTAACACTGGCAAACCAGGTGCCAGCTTATGCCAAGGTCCCCATGCTTCACTTGGATATTGACAAATACATAGCTGGAATTAGTCAGGCTCACCTAAGTATATTACTGTTGTTAAAATAGGTATTACGGTTGTAAAAATGTGCTTAGTTTAGACTTTATTGAATGCTTGTAAGTTGCTGTATGGATTATAACCCATAGGTGGTGTCAAGTATCAGAGGGGTAGCCGTGTTAGTCTGGATCTGTAAAAAGCAACAGAGAGTCCTGTGGCACCTTTAAGACTAACAGATGTATTGGAGCATAAGCTTTCGTGGGTGAATACCCACTTCGTCGGATGCAACCGACATAGGTGGTGTGTGACTCTAGCATTTGGGGTGGCTGGGCGCAAGTGCCAGAAGCTCCCTATAAGTGGGGGGGCCATTAGTGCCTGGACTGTGCCCCCCCCCCTCCGTCCCTGCTTGGCCTCTTCTCCTGAGGCCCCTCAGCCCTCTCCTCTCTGCCCCCCTCTCCGAGCAGCACGCCTCTTGGGGGAGGGAGCGGAGAGAAGCGAGCAGCAGGCTGGGGGAGGGCCTCTGGGGAGAGAGCGGAGAGTCACAAGCAGCAAGCGGGGAGGCCTCAGGGATGGTAGCAGAGAGGCTCAAGCAGCAGGCATAGGGGGGTTTGGGGGTAGAGGCAGAGCAGGGGTGGGAAGGGACAGAGCAAGGGGAGGCCTCAGGAGGAAGAGGTGTAGCGCAGGGGGATAATGGGGGAAGAGGTTGAGAGGGAGTGAGGCCTCAGGGAAGAGTGCGGGCAGGGCCACGGTCCAGGTACCACTGTCCCCCACACACTTCTCAGGAGCTTCCGCCAGCGGTGCTCCAAAGGCATCGGCCGGCCTCCAAAGGGTGGTGCACCACATCTGTCATTTCTTGCTCCGTTTGGGGAAGTTTAGCCTCTCCAAGCTCTTATACCCGCCACCCATGCTTATAACATCTGTATCCCATATTGTAAGGTAATATTTGAGCATTTGCATTGTAAGCCTTTGACTGTGACTCTAAATCACCAGACCAGAGTGAGATGTTAATTAGTGGGAAATGTTGACCTACAACAAAAGGTGTGATGTCCTGCCCAACAGAGAAAGCCCATCAACATCAGACAAATTATTATGGAACATCACAGGACAAAAGACTTTGTTGGTTGCTCTCCCCGCTCATGAAGAGGATAAGTTCAAATGAATTCCTCCCATCAGCTGAAGTGGCAGCTCAGAGAAGAGGGAAAAGAAATAAAAATCCCTGGCTAGAAGAAACTGTATGTCGATGTTGCTTGGACTCTCGAGGGGCAAGGTTTTCTAGGAATAAGCAAGAGATCCCCAGTGTTAAGCTGGGTTAGCCCTAAGGCTAGGTCTACACTACAGCGGTGTTCCGACCTAAGATACGCAACTTCAGCTACGTGAATACCGTAGCTGAAGTTGCGTATTTTAGGTCGGCTTACCTGGTGGTGAGGAAGGGGGAAAGCCGACCGCTGTCGCGCTGCCGCCGACTCCGCTGCCGCCTCTTGTCGAGGTGGATTTCCGGAGTCAACGGCAGAGCGATCAGGGATCGATTTTACCGCGTCCTCACGAGACGCGGTAAGTCGATCCCCGATAAACCGATTGCTACCCGCCGGATCGGCGGGTAGTGAAGACGTAGCCTAAGGGACATATAAAGCTTGCTTACTATAGAAGCTACTATCTTTTGAAACTTATGACTGTAACTCATTTGCGTGTGTGTATGTTTATCTGCTTTAATTTTGTGAATAACTCTCTTATTTTGTTTCTCTGGTTAATAAACCTTTAGGTAGATTATTATAGGATTGGCTACAAGTATTGTCTTTGGTGTGAGATCTAAAATGCTACTGACCTGGGATAAATGACTGGGCCTTTGGGACTGGGAGTAATTTGAATATTGTTGTGATTTTTGATGGAAGGGATCATCTACCACAAAGCCGAGCTTACCTGTGTGCAAACTAGAGAGTACCCAAGGAGATTGTCTGTGACATGTTAAGGCTCTTATAGTGCTGAAGGAGTTTACACTTGATAATTGGCCTGTGAAATTAAAGTATGGAACTCACAACTAATTTGGGGTTTGTGCCCTGCTTCTTAACAGGTTGCTCTGAAGTTGCTACTCATTTCATTGCAGGACAATTTGACAGGATCAACTAGTTCTGGAGCACAGAAGAGGAGCAGCTACTCTCATCATAGTACTAAGTAGCACGCAAGTGTTGGTTCAAGGTATAACTATCATTGACCAACTAAGTAATAGCAACCACATTATAATTAAGTTTAACACCCTTGTGGGGAGGGATAGTACTAAAATCTAGCACTCAGAAATTTAACTTTCAGCAGGGAGATTTTTTTAAGTGATTATGCTAGTTGCAAAGTACCTGAAATAAGGAAATTAAAATCCTTAAACTCTGCATGGAAACTACAGAGTCAGAGAAGATATGTATAGCACTAAAAACAAAAGGAAACAGTAAGCAAAAAGAAAAAAAGCATGGTGAAATGGCAAGATACGGAGGTTTTCCAAGTCAAACAAGCACCCTTCAAAAAATGGAAATTTAGCCCAAATAAAATCAATAGATAGGAGCTGCGCCGCTGCAGCGCTGTATGTGTACACATACCCTTAGATTCTTATATAGTAGCTGAGCATCTCGCAATCACTAACATATTTAGCGTCACAACATCCTTCCAAGGTAGGCCAAAACTATTACCCCCATTTCACAGATGGGGAACTGAAGCTAAGTGACTTGCCCAGACAAACTAAGTGACTTGCCCAAGTTCACACAGGTGGTCTATGATAGGTCAGGAAATTAAACCTGAGTCACCCAAGTTCTGGACTAGCACCCGTAACCCCTAAATCATCTTTCCTCCAGAAAGTCTCTCACTATATTAGAAGCAGAAAACTTTGAGAGACTCAGTGGCTACACTCAGGTGTGCCATTCTATGCAAACAAGAATGGGGAATCTGTGGAGAGACAATAGGGAAGCAACAATATTTAAATGGGAGAATCTAGAGCTCCTCCTCCAGAAATTTTTTGAAATTTCAGATGCAATTTTCTGCATTTTAGAGAGCTTTAGAACAAGATTTTAGCAATAATAGTAATAACAGTAATCAATGCAAGCCAAACACCAGGAAGGCTAAACTCCTGCATGGATTTCCCAGACTCTAAAGACAAATTCAAACTTTTCTTAAGTCAATATTGGTTTTGTATGTTTCCTTTTGATTGTATTTTTGTTTGTTTTCAATAACACATATGACCCCTTCTCCACACATGCTGCTGGAACACCTGATCCCAGCCAGCACTCCAAAGCTCCACTTACCACACACTAAGTAAGAGGAGCCACACACACAAATATCTGATTTTACTTAATGTTTGCTCTCAATCTTTCTGTTAAACTAATAAAGCTAAGTGAATGAGCAGCACAATGGCAGAAAATCAGTGCTGACAAATGCAAAGGAGATTGTAATCTTTCGTGAAAAGACCTCAGGTCATCTCGACAGCTTGATGTAAACATGTTCATTGTGTAGTGGCAGTCAAAAACAGCAAACAAAATGTGTAGCTGTGTAAAGAATATGATAGAAAATACTGGAAACAGTATTATGCTATTATCTAAATCTAAGGTATGCCCTCATTTGGGATGAAATCCTTATATAACTCCCATTTAAAAAAAATTTTTTTTTTTTAAAATAGAAAGGAGCTGCGCTGCTGCAGCGCTGTATGTGTACACATATCCTTAGATTCTTATATAGTAGTTGAGTATTGCCTTCAATGGGGCCAGGATTTCATTCTTGAAACACTGCACTCCATTCTGATCACCCCTTCACAATACAGATGTAGCATATTGAGCAGGTGATGTAGCAAGTTTTTTGTGTGAGTCAGAGAGATAGACTGATGGAGAGGCAAGAAATTACCAAGAAAGGAATAATTCTTGAATGGAATTTAAGGATTGGGAGGGGAGGGGAATAAGGGGAAAATGGAAGCTGGAATGAAGTGAAAGACAAATGATAGTTTAGAGAAGGCTGGAAAGAAGAAAGAAAATCAGGAGATGAAAGAACAGAGAGAAAGAAGAGGCAGTGTCGGGGCACATGAGGTCAGAAGTTATGAAGGAGGATAAAAAACCAAAGAAGAGGAAAACCAACAAAATAAGGGAAAAGAAGAGAGAAAAAATCCAGTAAGTGCAACTTTTGCCACAGGTACATAGTGATGCCTTCAAAAATGTCAATTCAGGTATTGGGAATTGACAGGTGTGATCCAGAATGACACAGAGGAAGACTTATTTAAAAAAAAATACAATAAAGGCAGAGTGGGAGGATTTCAGAATTGTGTCATTAAAATACTTGTAGAGCATCTTCACATTTTTCTTCAGAAGCTGCCCTGGAATTAATCTGCCTAGATCTGAGATTCCAACCCTCCAGCAACTTCACTTCTTTCTGATGCATTCCCTTCTTCCTCTCCAGTCCTCAGTCAGAATTAGAAGCCAGATACACAGTAGCAAAACTATGCCCATCTTCTGTGCTAGCTTTCCACACACCATGCCCACCCCAAAAAAATGGTTTGAGCTTGACTTTCTCTCAAAGGTAAATCCAGATTAATGTCCTAACCCAAAGCTCATTGAAGTCAATGGGACCCAAAGCTCATTGGGACCTATTGTGTCAAATTCAATGGAATAAATGGGCTCAGAGAGTAAAAGGTGTTACTCTGACCCTGTCACTGTACAACACTAAACAGTTGAACATGGTTCAGGGGCTTGGATACAGACACTGCTTAGTTCCATGACAAACACATCATTCAAAATCTTTTTAACTTTTCACAAAACATACAGAAAAGAAAAAAAGTTAAAGCATTTGAAATGTAAAATATTAATTAAGGATTTTAACTATATCCCTCATTCCATTTCCCTTTAGAGTTTTATCTGGAAATCCTTCAGTTTGACAGTTTTTTAGATGGTATTAATGATGGTAATAACTAGCCTTTTCTGGTGAAATGAAAAGAAGTTGAGATGACTGGACCTGTTGTTAAAAGTACAGTCTCATTTCCTTGAAGACAAAATAAGGGCAGGTCTACACTACCCGCCTGAATCGGCAGGTAGAAATCGACCTCTCGGGGATCGATTTATCGCGTCCCGTCAGGACGCGATAAATCGATCCCCGAATCGACGCTCTTACTCCACCAGAGAAGGTGGGAGTAAGAGCCGTCGACGGGAAGCCGCAGAGGTCGATTTTGCTGCCGTCCTCACAGCGAGGTAAGTCGGCTGCGATACGTCGAATTCAGCTACGCTATTCGCGTAGCTGAATTTGCGTATCTTAAATCGACCCCCCCCTGTAGTGAAGATGTAGCCTAAGTCAAACACAGTGTTGCAAAGGGAAGAGAAGAGAACAGCTAAGATAGAAAATTCAGCTTCTGTCTCTGGTGCTGACTTTCACCTGCAACCTCATTGCTAAAGAAACATGGGCTCAGCACACGGTCTTATCAGCCACTCCAAAACCTGGCAAACTTGTACCAGCATCCAGCTGTTTAATACATTGCTTTTAGCTGCCTAGCTGGTCATGGTCTCACAGCAGTGTTGCAAAAGATGCAGTCTTGGCTGGTGAAAACAGATTCTTATAAAACAGAAGGAAAGGAAGAGAGATAGGAAAGAGAATAAATAAGGTAAGACAGCAGGAAACCAAGTCTCACATTCTAGGTGTCATCTGGAATTTAGCCAGAGCTAGTGATGTCATCTGGGTCACTCTTTCTGGCCCAGTCTGGCCAGGACATCTCTCAAGATGAGGACAGTGAAGGTCCAACAGTGTTGTGGTAGATTCTGGGGTCCCAGAAGATGAAAGTGGAAGCCATGATGGTAAATCTCACTTCTTCTAGTTCACCTCTTTCTACCATTTTGATCCTCCCCACCTCCCCCCAAAGTCTCTTTTTAAGGACCCCAAAAGGAAGTGGTGGGCAGAACAGCTAATCCCCTTATTATTTTGTTTGCCAATTAGGCCTAATTTTCAACACACCAATTTGGGTCTATTAATCTCCAGTTCTAGTCTCCATTTTTTTCCAGTCACAGTCTTAACGCAGTCCTGGGGTGGAGTAAATAGACCATTTTTGTCTGGACTAATTTGGTCTTTCACTTTTGCTGAATTTTATGAACAATTGTATGTAACAAACTGAGTTAAACTTTTGTTACCTTGGACAACTTAGAGCACAGGCATTTGCACAACAGACCCAAAGTGTTTCCATTGATTTCAATGGGCTTTGGATCAGGCCCTACCTCCCTTGAAGTCAGTGGTGTTATATGGGTGTAACATTAATGTCAATTACAAGAGAACAGGCTCTCTGAGTCTATTTGTGTGGGTCAGTTAAGTGGAACTGTTTTTTTAATGTAATTGGCACTGAGTTTTAATTTATCTCTATCTCACTGAGAGACATTTATGCATATTATCAAACTAGTGTTTCATATTGGCTTATGTATGGGGGAACCAGCAGCAGCTTTCAAACCTGAAACATTTCTCCTAAGTTTGGGACAAATGATCAGCTACAATGGTCTGTGTAGAGCAGATGCAGGTTTCATGTTTCAGCTCCTCCTCACATTCCAGGCCTGCTGAGGCTTCCCTCAAAATTCTCCAAAATGGAGCCTCTCACAACTTATCCTTTAAAATGTTCAGTGCCCAAAGCAAGGGTATTTGTTGTTTTCCTGTCGATGGTTTTGTGTACAGTAATGCTCTGTCTGTTGCAGCTCAAATTCTTAAAACCTAAAATCAAAGATTTTTATTCTTTTGAAGTGAAGGATTCCAGAGGGAGGACCGTTTCTCTGGAGAAGTACAGAGGCAAAGTAAGTTGCATCTTCAAAGCACTATTTCTTTGTTACTAAATCTTTAGAGGGCAACAGATATACTCAATTTATATATGGTAAAAACACTGTAGCATTATGGGGAGATAGAGATATTTTCTAAAATTCCCTGTTCCTTCAGTATTTAGTGCTAAGCTAGCAGTACAGATTAATTTTAACTGGCTATATTAAATTTAGTGATACTAAATAATGCAAAATGGTCATTTAATATGATTTGTTATAACTGAAATGCTCTAACAATGCAACAAATATATTTTAATCACAGTAGCTAAGAATGTCAGCATAATGCAATTATATTTTAGAGGTTGATCTAAAATATATAATGTGAGACTATTTATTATGCACAAACCTTAAATGTTTGACTTTGCATGTGTGCTTTTAAAACAAAACTGTAATTAAAAAACATTTTATCCTTTTCAAGGGTCTAATGATTTTTATTAAAAGAATGTCTCTTAAAGAATACCTGATTTCAGCTTCTGATATTCTTACTATATCTAATGAGATTATGCTCCGATGGTCACAGATAGTATTCAAACAGGAGAGATTATGCTATTGGAAGTTATATCTTTAAGACTTGAAGTAATTTAGGAACTTGTAGTTTCTTTCTAAATGTTCCACCTTCTATTTCTCTGAAGGCGTCTTTGGTTGTAAACGTGGCCAGTTACTGCCAGCACACAGACAAAAATTACATCGCGCTGCAGGAATTACACAGAGAGTTTGGTCCATCCCACTTCACCGTGCTGGCCTTTCCGTGCAATCAGTTTGGAGAATTGGAGCCTAGCTCAAGCCAGGAAATACAATCTTTTGCCAAGGGAAACTATGGAGCAACTTTCCCTATTTTCCACAAAATTAAGATTCTGGGATCTGAAACAGAACCTGCATTCAAATTTCTGATAGGTAAATATTTGCCTATTATATATTATGCTGCATATAATTGCAATATTTTTTCATTTATATTGTATTGATTTTTTCCCCAAAACATAAGGGGAGAACAGAAAAAATGGCAGAAGAACAGAAAGGTAAAGGAATGGGGGGGGGAGGGAGGAGAAGGAACAGGGACAGAGACATCTCAGTTTCCATCTGCTAGGAATTAATCAAAGGTTTCTAAAACATTAAACCAAATCTTTTCAAATTTAGATGAGGTTCCTCTTCTCCAAAATGTTACCTGCTCTTTACAATACTATTTTTAAAGCAAACATGTAATTGCCTGATTTACCTGTTGTCTATTTTTTATTATCATTACAAAAATATTTTATTTGAAAAGTTGTTCAAATAACTATATTAACCATTCTGAGAGAATTTAATACAAAAGTATCACCATTATTGTCTTATATTCTTAATATTTCAACAGTTAATACAAACGTGTAGATCAGCAAATTCCCCTCTTACCAGACATGTATATCTTATTGACTTAGATGCAAGTTATGCATGAACAGTGGGAAATAATCACTGGTTTACATTAACTCATTTTGTAAATTTTGGGATCCAATCTGCAAAACCTACTCACACAACTATGCCTCATTCACATGAGAAGCCACTGGAACTTACTCACATGAGTAGGGGTTTGTAGGGATGGGCCCTGTAGTCTCACAAGTCAGAATGAGGCTGTATTTACTTAGGGCTTAAATCAAAGCTCAATGAAGCCAATTGAAAGACTCCCACTGACTTCAATGTGCTTTGGATCAGGTCTTTGGTTCCCATTGAATTTCTGTATAATAGAGGAATGATGGTCCAGTTGTTAGGGAACTAGCCCGTAACTTGGGAGAGATAATGTTCAATTCTATGCTCTGCCACAGCTTTCCTCTGTGACTTTGAGTAAGTCACTTACCCTCAGTTCCACATCTGGGAAACAGAGATAGTGATGCTTCCCAGCCTCACAGGGTGCCATGAGCATGCAGTGCTCAGCTGCTTTGGTGATGGGGGCCAGCTATGTACTTTTAAAGAAGATAAGGGTCAAAAATCACTTGCCATATCACTAGCAAAACAACAAGATACTGCAGATTTTGTAAATCTTTTCACCAGCCTGAATTTCAAACATGTTTTCTTTTCACCTAACTAAAAACAATGGATCAAATTCTGCACTAATTTATACTCCCTTCAATCCTAATATCCCCTCAGATATGCTCGTGCATTATGATCATGAAGACAAGGGGAGCGTTTGACTTCAGTTACATTACAGACGGTGTAATTAGTGCGGACTATGCCCCATTCGATATATTAAATAAAAACATATCCATACCCATGGATGGAGAGAGATACCACATTCACTCTTTTGGTTCTAAAATGCATGATACACCTCTACCCCGATATAATGCTGTCCTTGGGAGCCAAAAAATCTTACCGTGTTATAGGTGAAACCACGTTATATCGAACTCGCTTTGATCCACTGGAGTGCGCAGCCTCGCCCCCCCCCCGGAGCGCTGCTTTACCGTGTTATATCTGAATTCGTGTTATATCGGGTCACATTATATCGGGGTACAGGTGTAGCTTGTTTGACATAGACAAAAAATCACTTTATTTGCTATTTGTATATTTTGAAAGTATTTTATGAAAGTCATCCTTTCCCTTCCTGCAGCCCCCGCCTCAAAGGAATTTACTGTGCAGCTTCTGCCCAAAGGGGATGATATTTTCACTCTCTTATACATTTAATACTTTCTAGGTCAAATTCTCAGCCACATTGGGACAGTTTTGCACTATATCACCAGCTGATTCTGACCATACGACTAGCATATCCAGCCCCAGAGCAATCGTCCTAGTGCAAGGAGGATCCTCCAGCGGCATAGAGATGGTGCAGACATAGGCACCGACTCCGTGGGTGCTCCGGGGCTGGAGCACCCACGGGGAAAAATTGGTGGGTGCTCTGCACCCACCGGCAGCTCCCCGCCCCAGCTCACCTCCACCTCCTCTGCCACTTTTTCCCCCTGGTTCCCAGCGCTTCCTGCCGCGAAACAGCTGTTTCACGGCGGGAAGCGCTAGGAGGGAGGGGGGAAGAGGGGGAACGCACCATGCTCGGGGAAGAGGCGGGGCCGGGGCGGGATTTGGGGAAGGCATCCAATAGGGGCAGGGAGGAGGTGGAGTTGGGGCGGGGACTTTGGGGAAGGGGTTGGAATGGGATGGGGCAGGGGCGGGGCAGGGCCGGGGGGTACGAGCACCCACCGGTGCCGGGAAAAGTTGGTGCCTATGGGTGCAGAGACTCTTATGAAGTGCTTAATTTGTAATAAAACAGGAGCTGGGGCTCAAGCAATTAGGTGCCAGGGCTGAAGCAATTTTTGTACTTTCATAACTGATTCAGCAAGCCCAGAGGTATCAGGGCTATGAACTGCCAAGCCTAAAGTTGCCGGGGCTCTGCCCTGACAAGCCCTGGCACAAATTAAGCACTGCCATTTCACTCCTTCATCCCAATGTAACAGCAAAAGGGGGGCTTGGCCAATGCTCAGGACACTGCTAAATCTCATTGATCCAGGGTCGCCCAGAGGGGGGGAGCAAATGAGGCAATTTGCCCCAGCTCCCGGGCCCTGCAGGGGCCCCCACGAGAATATAGTATTCTATAGTATTGCAACTTTTTTTTATGGAAGGGGGCCCTGAAATTGATTTGCCCCAGGCCCCCTGAATCCTCTGGGCAGCCCTGCATTGATCCCCAGCAGTAGTTTTGGACCATGGGAGCTATTGCAGCTGCTATAAATTAGAGCAGTCATCAAGCTGCTCTAACTTACACTGGGAGTCTAGCTCTGCATTCTAACCCAGAATCAAGGGGAGAGCAACGGTGAGGTTATACCACCCCAAGACTTCCTCTTCTGACTTGCACTGTGTGCAATTCAGCTTGATCCTAGATATAGCAATTAAATCAAGATACAATTATTAAACAGAAAAGGGTCAACATGACATGGAACATATCCCACCATCCCTTGCCATGGAAAATTCCTATTGAGGCTGTGGAAGTTATGAATATGGTTCAGTGGCTGGCTTGGGCCAATGGCTTTTAATTAGGTTTGAAAGGACTAGATTTGTATCTGTAAATGTCAGTAAACATCGACTTCACAGTATACACACAAATGACGAAAAATATTTCAATTGATGATCATTGAAATTTACAGATAAGTAAAGTAAGAAAAGTGCAGCTTAAGAACTTATTAGAGTTGACTTACGGATATTTACTTTGTATATCTGTATATTTTGACATGCGATGTGACAGTTTGTGTTTTAACAGTTATAAAGCTTTAACTTTTTTATCTAACCATCTGCTGTCATTAAATAAATATTGTCTGACACTCCCATTGTCTCATACATCCCTAATTTCCCGCAACTGTGAAAATGTAAATTGCTAAAAATCAGAAAAAATACCTAAAACCCATAGTTTTGTGCAACTGTGAAAATTTAAATTGAAAAAAAAATTAAAATTACTTCAAAATAAACATTGATATTATCCATCAAAATGATAAAAAATACCATCAAATTCTGCCAAGTTACTTTTAATGCATTAATGTAGGACCTTATTCTCCACTACATGGCTTATTCCCCTTGTCAAGGCTGTATCCCCACTTTGAACTTTAGGGTACAAATGTAGGGGCCTGCATGAAAATTTCTAAGCTTAACTACCAGCTTAGCTCTGGTCCCGCTGCCACCATTCTCAATGGATTCCCTCCCTGGGAAGCCTTGAGAAACCTTTCACCAATTCCCTGGTGAATACAGATCCAAACTCCTTGGATCTTAAACAAGGAGAAATTGACCCTTCCCCCCTCCTTCCTTTCACCAACTC